AGACGGACGACGTGAGTGCGGGTCGAGGTGACGCTAAACAGGTCGTGGTGGCCATACTGCTCTACTTACGAACATTCGACTTACGATCTTTCAGAGATACGAACAAACCTGTCCGTATGTCCAGTTGCCTGTTCGGACGGAGAGCCGTAAGTTCAACCGTCGCGCAATATATTGCGGTGGTGGCATCTACATCTATAGAACGTGAAGAACCATTGGCATCTACATCTACAGAACGTGAAGAACCAGTGGCATCTACAGAACGTGAAGAATCAGTGGCATCTACATCTACAGAACGTGAAGAACCAGTGGCATCTACATCTACAGAACGTGAAAACCAGTGGCATCTACATTTACAGAACGTGAAGAACCAGTGGCATCTACACAACGTGAAGGACCAGTGGCATCAACAGCTACAGGAGATTATACAACTTTTAAAGCCATTCACCGTGTTTAGTGCACACGCTCTACAACATGTTTGTAATCAACAGGAGTAAAGTTTGGACTTACGAACAGACCTCTGGAACCTAACTCGTTCGTAAGTAGAGGAGTCCCTGTATTGACGACGTATATTTGAGAAACGACAAAAGGGGCGAAGAGACATGAATGGGGGGGGGGGGGGGGGGGAATTACCGTGCTATGACCCGCTCATAAGTTACACCTCATGAATGTAGACAAAAACAAATCATACTTGAGGAACACGGGGGGGGGGGAGTTGCCCCCCAGACGTGGAGAGCTCAAATGTATTTTTTTAAAAAGAAAACTACGAACTTTGTTTTATTTTACCAGCGGGTAAGGCCCACTGAGCTACGTAGCTCTTTTTCAGAAGCGACCTGGCCATCACAAACGATATCCCAACGAAGTGGCTCATCGTCGCGTGGAAATTTACAGCAGCAGTCAAATGATCTGAACGGGTAATGTTTTTAAATGTGGAGGTGGAAATACAAAAAAAGTGGAAGGACCCGGAGCAAAATCCACACGACCACGGGGAGAGAGACACGCAAACTCCAAATATACAGCAGGTGTCAGGGTCGGGATCGAACCCACGAGCCGACCTCCTGCACACCAGGCGAGGGAGTTAACATCCAATGGGTAGTAACCCAGGCGGTGAGAGAAGGTGCTGGGGATCAGGGTGGTGGGGAGGTTGCCATTGGAGGGATCTCGTGTCCCAAGGCCATAGCTTCGCCACAGCTTCCCCATGCAGATGACATTGCATGGTTGACCAGCGTGGCTTAGGGGAAAGCTTGCGAGGAAGGTGCTCGTGACTTGATGCAACAAAACGAAATCGCTCACCGCTGATGATGGCCGCGAGCGGGAAGCGAACTCGGGCCGCCGGGTTCGCGGCGCCGTGCGCTAACCGCTGCACTGCCGCTGCGTTTTCGCTCGCTTGCACAAACTCGCGAAGACAAAGATCCCCCGTGTAGCCTTAACAGATTGGTGGGGCAAGTGCTGTTTCCGAGCACCGCCTATGAAGGCCGGCACGGCACACGAGGGGGTTAGGTGGCCAGCATCACGCCCGGTCGCCTTTGTCTCCCCAGTGACGATGTTGTACACACCGGACCAGGTACTCATTTGAGGCTGAGTCGACCCAGGGGAGGCCCAGGACCGCTTCATATAATGAGCGGAAATCGAATTCGGGTCGCCGGGTTCGTAACGCAACGCGCTACCAGGGGTGGCCAAACTTTTTGACTCGCGGGCCACAATGGGTTCTAAAATTTGACAGAGGGGCCGGGCCAGGAACAGATGGATGGTCAAAGTGCGCCATCTAATGGGGAAATGGGGGGCATTACAGGAGAAAGGTAAAATTTAATTTAATAATATTTGGACAAGTTCGGCGGACCTGATTAAAAAGCCCAACGGGCCGTACTTTGCCCATGTCTGCGCTAATCGCTCACACACACGCACGCACCCACACATCCGCATGTACACACGTATGTACACGTCCGTGATCCTGAAAATATGGCCGCATCCGGCAACACCATGTCCAGCGTAGCCTTTCACTATGGCAGTGGCAATTACTGGTCACGTGCCTACTCCCGTCGAGCAGTGAGAAATGAATACCTGTGTCGAGCCAGTGCGTGGGCTAGCGGTCACGAGCGGTAATTCTAGGTGCGAGGACAATATACAAGGCTAGCGGTCGGTCGCAAGTGGTAATTACAGGCGAGTTGACAGAGAAAGGGAACGGATCTGGAATCTCCAGGAAGGATCGGGAACTCGCCGGGGAGTTCGAGAAGTAAGGGCGTGGCCAGGGGCGGAGCGATGGCCACGCCGCGGATTAAAAGGTGCGAGGAGCGAGGTTTCGGGGCTGCTGTGGAAGTCGGGGTCGTCACGGTCCGGGGGGAGCTGTCCTCGCCGTCTTAGAGTCGTCGCTGTGAAGCGACCGACCAAAGTAAAGAAACCCTCTGCAGCCCGTGTGTCCGAGAGCCGTTTATACCTGCACGCGCACCTGCTTACACAAAGACAAATATCCCACGCGAGTAGCCTTTGACAGACTGTTGGGGCAAGCGCTGTTAGCGAGACCTATGTCGGGCGGAACGGCACACGAGGGAGTGGATGGCCAACACCACGCCCGGCCACCTTTGTCTCTCCAGTGACGATGTTTTACACACCGCACCAGGTATTTCATTTGAGGCTGAGTCGACCTAGGGGACGCCCAGGTGACCGGTTCAAATAATCGCCACCGGTGTTGGCCGTGAGCGGGAATCGAACCCGGGTCGCCGGGTTCGTAGCGCAGCGCGCTAACCGCTACACAACCGCTCCCCAACACACACACTGTGTACACACGCACGCACATACACGCACATACACACACTGTGTACACACATACGCACACACACACACGTAAACACCCACACACTGTGTACACACACACGCACACACACACTGTGTACACATGCACACACACACGCACACACACACACTGTGTACACACACACGCACATACACACACACGCACATACACACACACGCACTGTGTACACATGCACATACACGCACACACACACTGTACACACGCACATACACACACACACTGTATACACATACACGCACATACACACACGCACATACACACGCACACACACATACACACGCACACACACACTGTGTACACACACACGCACATACACACACACGCACATACACACACACGCACTGTGTACACATGCACATACACGCACACACACACTGTACACACGCACATACACACACACACTGTGTACACATACACGCACATACACACACGCACATACACACGCACACACACACGCACATACACACGCACACACACACTGTGTACACACGGACATACACACGCACACACACACTGTACACACGCACATACACACGCACACACACACACTGTGTACACACACACGCACATACACACACACGCACATACACACACACGCACTGTGTACACACGCACATACACGCACACACACATACACACACACGCACTGTGTACACACGCACATACACACACACGCACATACACACACACGCACTGTGTACACGTACACACACGCACACACACACTGTACACACGCACATACACACACAGTGTACACATACACGCACATACACACACGCACATACACACACTGTGTACACACACGCACATACACACACTGTGTATTCTAGATTTAAAGCTTTCGTGACTGCTAGGATCCATACTCTTTGGTTCTATTGGGTAAAGTCACGTAGGTGAAAATAAAATAACAAAAAATCACGACGTTTCGGCCACAACACAAGCGGCCTTCATCAGGTGAAGGGACGAGACTGTCTGGAGGACAGCGCTGGAGTGGAAGAAGCCACGCTCAGATCACGACCTTTAAGCTGTGTGAGAAGAAAACACAAAGCGCCTTGACAAAGGAATTAGCATATAATTTAGCATTGAAATGGCTCATTGAAATAGCTAAGTTAAAGTATACACATCCGCAGAGGTACCCCTTGACAAAGGAATCAGCATAGAATTTAGCATTGAAATAGCTGAGAGATTAGCTTGTAACTGGTCACAGTTACTCCAGCGCTGTCCTCCAGACAGTCTCGTCCCTTCACCTGATGAAGGCCGCTTGTGTTGTGGCCGAAACGTCGTGATTTTTTGTTATTTTATTTTCACCTACGTGACTTTACCCAATAGAACCAAAGAGTACACACTGTGTACACACGCACATACACACACACGCACATACACACACACTGTGTACACACAAACGCACATACACACACGCATATATACACACACGCACATACATACACACACTGTGTACACGCACACATACACACACACGCACATACAGTACACACACACACTGTGTACACACACACGCACATACACACACACGCACATACACACACACGCACATACACACACACGCACATACACACACACGCACATACACACACACGCACATACACACACACGCACATACACACACACGCACATACACACACACGCACATACACACACACACTGTGTACACACACACACTGTGTACACACACACACATACACACGCACACACACTGTGTACACACAAACGCACATACACACACGCACATACACACACGCACATACACACACGCACATACACACACGCACATACACACACGCACATACACACACGCACATGCACATACACACACGCACATACACACACACTGTGTACACACGCACACAAAGATAAAGACAAAGATCCCCCATATAGCCTGTAACAGGCTGTAGGGGCAAGTTCTGTTAGCGAGCACCTATGAAGGCCGGCACGGTACACGAGGGGGTGGGTGGCCAGCACCATGCCCGACCGCCTTTGTCTCCCTAGTGGCGATGTTTACACACCGCACCAGGTACTCATTTGAGGCTGAGTCGACCTAGGGGAGGCCCGGGACCGGTTCAGATAATCGTCACTGGTGTTGGCCGTGAGCGGGAATCGAACCCGGGTCGCCAGGTTCATAGCGCAGCGCGCTAACCGCTACACTATCGCTCCCCACACGCACACACACACATACACACACACACACTGTACACACACACGCACATGCTCCCTCGAACCCCCCCCGCCCCCCTATTGCAATCGCCGGAGCATCGCTGCGAGCGCGGCTGCGAGGAGGCCAAGAGCGGAGCGGGACGAGGACGGCGGAGGGGCCCGGGATGGGCTCCCCTCGTGCGCGCGTCCCCCGGAGGACGGCGGCAGGGACGCCCGGGGGGGCTCCGCTGGCCTTGGGCACGTCTCCTCCCCGCAGTCCCCGCTGCCCGAACCCCACTCGTCGCCTGCCGGGGTGGACACAAACCGGGGAGGGGGAGGGTGGGGGGCACGCGAGTCCGCTTGTTCCGTTTGGCATAACGCGGGCGGGGAAGGGTGAGCACGCGAGCTGGCGGTTTCCGACGTTCGGAGGTCCTCGAGCAAAGAAGAATGAAAAGGCTCCGAGCCTCAAGAGGCACCACCACCACCAACACCACCACCATTCCTTAATCATCAGGGGGTGGCGCGTCTGGGGGGGGGGGGCGGTGGGTTGTCAGTGCTCACTGCTGTCGGGGAAGTGGGTGTCGTGGCCGTGGAAGGCGCCGTGCAGCTGGTTGGTCATGATGCGCAGCGCCATGATCTGCCGGCGGGACTGGAGGTCGGGCCGGGTCACGTCCACCTTCACCTCCGGGTTGTCCCTCTGCTGGGCCAAGCCATCGCCCACCACCTCGCGCAGATACCTTGCAGAGGAGAGAGAGGCATCGTCGTCGTCATGTACACCCCTAGCTGCCACTGCTATTCAGTGGCCTAAAATCATAAAATGTTTCGCTCCGGATGACCGCTGCAAAGTATTATCTGTATTTTGATTTAGTGTGCTGATCTTAAAGGTGCATTGAAAAATGTGATACTCCGACTGATGCTCCTGTTGTTTGTGGAGTGACTCATGCAGCCAGCTGTGGCTCTTGGGTTTGGTGTTACGTGTTATTTATGTAGTTTATTGTTAAAAATTCGGTCACAGTCCCTATGATCACTGTTACATTGCATTTATGGCTTTATTTTGGTGATTTCGAAAACGTTTTTTTTGGTTTGGCCATGTTTTTGTTTATTGTAGTACGGAGTTAGACTGATGGCCTTAATCTAAGTTTTCTTGTGGTTGTTGTTGTTTGACTTGTATCCCACTGGGATTTTTGCACACATCGTTGGTGTACGGTGCTATTTCAGGAATATTTTGATGTTTTTTCCTGGATTTCCTGTTTGCACAGTCACACATAGTCACTTTAAGATGTTTTCTTGTTCATGTTTTTTGTTTGTTGCGGTTGCACCCGATTCAAGAGCCGAATGTCTCACAGGGCTATACCAAATAAATGGAACTGAAACTGTCATCGTCGTTGGCATCATCGTTATCGTCATTGTCGTCAACGTTGTTATCGTCATCGTTATCGCCATCGTCGTTATCGTCGTCATCGTTATCGCCATCGTCGTTATCGTCGTCATCGTCGTCGACGTCGCTCTCCTGGGGGTCGATGAGACCCAGTCGTGCTGGCCTGCTTTTCGGGAGGTCAACTGCCGTGGTTGTCCACTAAGAGGGGAGACGGCCCTGGGGGGGGGGGGGGGCTGGCAGAGGGAAGGAGGAGATGGCTCTGGGGGGGGGGACCTGGCAGAGGGAAGGAGGAGATGGCTCGGGAGGGGGGGGGGGACCTGGCAGAGGGAAGGAGGAGACGGCTCTGGGGGGGGGGGGGGACCTGGCAGAGGGAAGGAGGAGACGGCTCTGGGGGGGGGGGGGGGACCTGGCAGAGGGAAGGAGGAGATGGCTCTGGGGGGGGGCCTGGCAGAGGGAAGGAGGAGATGGCTCTGGGGGGAGGGGGGGACCTGGCAGAGGGAAGGAGGAGATGGCTCTGGGGGGGCGGACCTGGCAGAGGGAAGGAGAAGATGGCTCTGGGGGGGGGGGGGGACCTGGCAGAGGGAAGGAGGAGATGGCTCTGGGGGGGGGGGAGGGGACCTGGCAGAGGGAAGGAGGAGACGGCTCGGGGGGGGGGGGGGGACCTGGCAGAGGGAAGGAGGAGATGGCTCTGGGGGGGGGGGGCTGGCAGAGGGAAGGAGGAGATGGCTCGGGGGGGGGGGGCTGGCAGAGGGAAGGAGGAGATGGCTCTGGGGGGGGGGGGGACCTGGCAGAGGGAAGGAGGAGATGGCTCTGGGGGGGGGGGGCTGGCAGAGGGAAGGAGGAGATGGCTCTGGGGGGGGGGGACCTGGCAGAGGGAAGGAGGAGATGGCTCTGGGGGGGGAGGGGACCTGGCAGAGGGAAGGAGGAGACGGCTCTGGGGGGGGGGGGGGGACCTGGCAGAGGGAAGGAGGAGATGGCTCTGGGGGGGGGGGGACCTGGCAGAGGGAAGGAGGAGATGGCTCTGGGAGGGGGGGACCTGGCAGAGGGAAGGAGGAGATGGCACTGGGGGGGGGGGGGCTGGCAGAGGGAAGGAGGAGATGGCTCTGGGGGGGGGGGGACCTGGCAGAGGGAAGGAGGAGATGGCTCTGGGGGGGGGGGGACCTGGCAGAGGGAAGGAGGAGATGGCTCTGGGGGGGGGGGGACCTGGCAGAGGGAAGGAGGAGATGGCTCTGGGGGGGGGGGGGGGGGGACCTGGCAGAGGGAAGGAGGAGATGGCTCTGGGGGGGGGGGACCTGGCAGAGGGAAGGAGGAGATGGCTCGGGGGGTGGGGGGACCTGGCAGAGGGAAGGAGGAGATGGCTCTGGGGGGGGGGGGACCTGGCAGAGGGAAGGAGGAGATGGCTCTGGGGGGGGGGACCTGTCAGAGGGAAGGAGGAGATGGCTCTGGGGGGGGGAGGGGCTGGCAGAGGGAAGGAGGAGATGGCTCTGGGGGGGGGGACGTGGCAGAGGGAAGGAGGAGATGGCTCTGGGGGGGGGGGGGGGGGGGCCTGGCAGAGGGAAGCAGGAGACGGCTCGGGGGGGGGGACCTGGCAGAGGGAAGGAGGAGACGGTTCTGGGGGGGGACCTGGCAGAGGGAAGGAGGAGACGGCTCTGGGGGGGGGGGACCTGGCAGAGGGAAGGAGAAGATGGTTCTGGGGGGGGGGAGGGGGGACCTGGCAGAGGGAAGGAGGAGATGGCTCTGGGGGGGGGGGGGACCTGGCAGAGGGAAGGAGGAGACGGCTCTGGGGGGAGGGGGGGACCTGGCAGAGGGAAGGAGGAGATGGCTCTGGGGGGGCGGACCTGGCAGAGGGAAGGAGAAGATGGCTCTGGGGGGGGGGAGGGGACCTGGCAGAGGGAAGGAGGAGATGGCTCTGGGGGGGGGGAGGGGACCTGGCAGAGGGAAGGAGGAGGACGGCTCTGGGGGGGGGGACCTGGCAGAGGGAAGGAGGAGATGGCTCTGGGGGGGGGGGGGCTGGCAGAGGGAAGGAGGAGATGGCTCGGGGGGGGGGGGCTGGCAGAGGGAAGGAGGAGATGGCTCTGGGGGGGGGGACCTGGCAGAGGGAAGGAGGAGATGGCTCTGGGGGGGGGGGGGGGCTGGCAGAGGGAAGGAGGAGATGGCTCTGGGGGGGGGGGGACCTGGCAGAGGGAAGGAGGAGATGGCTCTGGGGGGGGAGGGGACCTGGCAGAGGGAAGAAGGAGACGGCTCTGGGGGGGGGGGGGACCTGGCAGAGGGAAGGAGGAGATGGCTCTGGGGGGGGGGGGACCTGGCAGAGGGAAGGAGGAGATGGCTCTGGGAGGGGGGGGACCTGGCAGAGGGAAGGAGGAGATGGCTCTGGGGGGGGGGGGGCTGGCAGAGGGAAGGAGGAGATGGCTCTGGGGGGGGAGGGGACCTGGCAGAGGAAAGGAGACGGCTCTGGGGGGGGGGGACCTGGCAGAGGGAAGGAGGAGATGGCTCGGGGGGGAGGGGACCTGGCAGAGGGAAGGAGGAGACGGCTCTGGGGGGGACGGAACCTGGCAGAGGGAAGGAGGAGATGGCTCTGGGGGGGGGGGACCTGGCAGAGGGAAGGAGGAGATGGCTCTGGGGGGGGGACCTGGCAGAGGGCAGGAGGAGACGGCTCTGGGGGGGGACCTGGCAGAGGGAAGGAGGAGACGGCTCTGGGGGGGGACCTGGCAGAGGGAAGGAGGAGACGGCTCTGGGGGGGGGACCTGGCAGAGGGAAGGAGGAGATGGCTCTGGGGGGGACCTGGCAGAGGGAAGGAGGAGATGGCTCTGGGGGGGGGACCTGGCAGAGGGAAGGAGGAGACGGCTCTGGGGGGGACGGAACCTGGCAGAGGGAAGGAGGAGATGGCTCTGGGGGGGGGGGACCTGGCAGAGGGAAGGAGGAGATGGCTCTGGGGGGGGGGACCTGGCAGAGGGAAGGAGGAGACGGCTCTGGGGGGGGACCTGGCAGAGGGAAGGAGGAGAAGGCTCTGGGGGGGGACCTGGCAGAGGGAAGGAGGAGACGGCTCTGGGGGGGGGACCTGGCAGAGGGAAGGAGGAGATGGCTCTGGGGGGGACCTGGCAGAGGGAAGGAGGAGATGGCTCTGGGGGGGGACCTGGCAGAGGGAAGGAGGAGATGGCTCACCTGCCCTCCTCCTCTCCGTTCCAGCATTCCTCCTCGTTGGAGATCTCCGCTGCCACCCCGTCCGTGTTGCAGACACTGAACGGCAGCGAGGCCCAGAAGGACTTCATCCTGCGCAGAGTGTCCCTCGCCTCCCGCACCTGCACCACGTGGGGAGGCGGGGGGTGCAGTGGGGGGGGGCAGTGGGGGGGGTGCAGTGGGGGGGGGGGCAGGGGGTTGGGGGGGGGGCGGCACCACGTGGCTCACATTCAGGTGCCCACGGAAAGCCGCGTTCCGCCTACAAAGGCAAAGATCCCCCGTGTAGCCTTCACGGACTGTTGGGGGCAAGTGCTGTTAGCGAGCAGCACCTGTGAAGGCCGCCACGGCGCACGAGGGGGTGGGTGGCCAGCACCACGCCCGGCCGCCTTTGTCTCCCCAGTGGCGATGTTTACACAGCGCACCAGCTACTCATTTGAGGACGGATTCCGATAATCGTCAGTGGTGTTGACCGCGAGCGGTGATCACAGCGCCACTCGCTGACCGTTGAGCACTACCGCTCCCCACTACTGCACGCACGCACGCACACACGTACACACACTCTCACACGCACGTACACACGTACACACACGTACACACACTCTCACACGCACGTACACACACTCTCACACTCTCACACGCACGCACGCACGTACACACGCACACACACTTACACACACTCTCACACACACGTACACACACTCTCACACTCTCACACGCACGCACGCACGCACGTACACACGCACACACACTTACACACACTCTCACACGCACGTACACACGTACACACACGTACACACACTCTCACACGCACCTACACACGTACACACACGTACACACACTCTCACACGCACGTACACACGCTCACACACGTACACACACTCTCACACGCACGTACACACGCTCACACACGTACACACACTCTCACACGCGCGTACACACGTACACAGACTCTCACACGCACGTACACACGCTCACACAAGTACACACACTCTCACACAGGCACGCACGCACGCTCACACAGGCACGCACGCACGTACACACAGGCACGCACGCACGTACACACAGGCACGCACACACGTACACACAGGCACGCACGCACGTACACAGGCACGCACGCACTCTCACACGAACAAACAGGCACGCACACACACGTTCATACACGCGCACACACACATGCACACGCACACACATACACATACACACGCACACAAGCACACACACGAACACACACATAGGCACTCACACACACGCTCACACATGCACGCACGCGCACACACACACAGGCACGCTCACGCACACACGCGCGCGCACAGACACACACACATACACACACATGCACGCGCACGCACGCACACGCGCACACACACAGACACGCACGCACACACACACACACGCGCACACACACACACAGGCACGCACGCACAGACACACGCACACACACAGACACGCACGCACACACACACACGCGCACACACACAGGCACGCACGCACACACACACGCGCACACACACACAGGCACGCACGCACACACACACGCACACACACAGACACACGTACACACACAGACACGCACGCACACACACACGCGCACACACACACAGGCACGCACACACACACACGCGCACACACACAGACACACGCACACACACACGCACACACACACACAGGCACGCACGCACACACACACAGACACACACACACACACAGGCACGCACGCACAGACACACGCACACACACACAGGCACGCACGCACACACAAGCGCTCCGACGGAGGAGTTACGGGCAGAGTAATTACGGCCAACGATCGCAGGCGGAGAGGCAAGCGGCGGACACGGCGGTGATCTATGGGACGAGTCGGGGGACGGCGGGACAATAATTAACGGCATCGTCAATCCGGCGCAGGAGAGAGAGAGAGAGAGGACGCGGGATGGAGTGGATCGTGGGAGCATCGGACTGGGAGTCGCTGGCGTCTCGGTCTGCGTGGCCTGTCTCCGTGTCGAGCTGGTGGCCCCCGAAACCCAAAGCCTCTCGCACCGCAGTACGCGGAACGGTGCAGTACGTGGAGCGATGATGCAGCGCTCAGAACGATGCAGTACGTGGAATTGTGCAGCGCGCTTAACGATGATGCAGTATGCGGAACGGCGCCATAACGCGCAGGGGCTTCACCGCGTCACGGCCAACTCATCCACCGCTGCGTCACTCGCGGGTCGATCACGAGTCGACCTCCATCTCAACTAGAGGCCGCTGGGGGGGGGGGGACCTGAACGACCCCAACCTGAACGACTCCTAGACAGGGGGGGGGGGACTTGAACGACACCAATTTAAACGACTCCACCCACGGGAAGGGGGGGGTGGACTTGAACGACCCCGACCTGAACGACTCCACCCACGCGAGGGGGGCGGGGGGGACCTGAACGACTCCACCCACGGGAGGGGGGGAGGGGGGGGACCTGAACGACTCCACCCACGGGGGGGGGGGGGGACCTGAACGACTCCACCCACGGGAGGGGGGGAGGGGGGGGACCTGAACGACTCCACCCACGCGGTGGGGGGGGGGACCTGAACGACTCCACCCTCAGGGGAGGGGGGGGGAGACCTGAACGACCCCGACCTGAACGACTCCTAGACGGGGGGGGGGGGGACTTGAACGACACCAATTTAAACGACTCCACCCACGGGAAGGGGGGGGGGTGGTGGACTTGAACGACCGCGACCTGAACACCGGGGGTGGGGGACCTCACCAGGTGGACGATGGTGGTGCTGGGCGAGGCGGTGGGAGCCGACGGGCGGCTCTGGCCGACCCTCCCCCTGCCACCGTAGCCGGACGGCGCCGCCCCGTTGCCGGCCTGGTGCGCCCTGCCGGGCTTGGGGATCCCGCACTCCGCGAAGATCTGGGGGCGCGGCAGGGCGGTTACTGGGAGCGTACGCAGAGCGACGAAGGCCCTGGTTGAAGGCGTCCGCGGGATCAGCAGCAGCAGCAGGAGACACTGCCGCCCGCGAGTGACGCAGCGGTGGATGAGTTGGCCGTGACGCGGTGAAGCCCCTGCGCGTTATGGCGCCGTTCCGCGTGCTGCATCATCGTTAAGCGCGCTGCACAATTCCACGTGCTGCGTCATCGTTCTGAGCACTGCATCATTGCGCCACGTACCGCATCATTCCGTGTACCTCACCGTTACACGTACCGCATCATTCCACGTACCGCACCATTACACGTACCGCATCATTCCACGTACTGCACCATTACACGTACCGCATCACTGTACCGCGCGCTGCATCGTTCCACGTGCTCCACTGTACCGCAGCGTTCCGCGTGCCGCGGCGTGGACACGCGCGTCAAGCGGCCGAATTCTTTCGAGTGTCGCCCCGTGAACGGATCGTCGCCGCCGCCGCCGCCGCCGTCATTTGCGCTTCACCTGCGTGGACACCTGGACGCTGTTCTCCTGGAGGTGCATGATCGCGTCCGAGATCCTCACGTCGATCGGAGCCAGGACCGTCTCCACGTTGAAGGGACCCTCCAGTCGCTCCGTCAGCTGCAGCATCGCGTCTGCGTGGTGGGGCGGGGAACGGCGGCGCAGCGGTTAGCGCGCTCCCGGCCGACGAGCCCGCGGCCGGGCAAGAAGGCGTCCCGGCTGATGCCGCGCGGCGTGAACGTTCGGCGGAACGGGCGAGCCGCGAGTGCCGGCTGGGAGGCGTGGTTGTGGACGAGCCCCCGCGCCGTGCCGGAGCGCGGTGACTCCGCCACCGGAGCGGATCGTCATCGTCGTCATCGTCGTCATCGTCATCGTCGTCATCGTCGTCGTCATCGTCGTCATCGTCGTCATCATTGTCGTCATCGTCGTTATCATCGTCATTATCACTGTCGTCATCATCGTCATCATCATCGTCGTCGTCATTGTCGTCATCATCGTCATCATCATCGTCATAATCGTCATCATCGTCGTCATCATCGTTGTCGTCATCGTCATCATCATCGTCGTCATCATCGTCGTCATCGTCACTGTCGTCATCGTCATCATCATCGTCGTCGTCATCGTCATCATCGTCATCGTCATCATCATCGTCATCATCATCGTCGTCATCATCATCATCGTCATCATCATCGTCATCATCATCGTCGTCATCATTGTCATCATCGTTATCATCATCACCATCATTGTCGTCATCATTGTCATCATCGTTATCATCATCACCATCATTGTCGTCATCATCATCATCGTCGTCATCAGCAGCAGCAGCAGCGAGGGAAGGGCGGCAGTTTGCAGGACAATCGCCCCCCCCCCCCCCGCCCCCCCCCCCCCCCCCCCCCCCCCCCCGCGAGGTCGTTCCTGCAAGTTTACGTAGCAAGGTGATTCAAATCAGTGCAATGGATCGGGGGGGAAATTAATCGGGGGGGGGGGGAGAATCGGCGGAATGAATCAGTCAAATGAATCAGTGGAATGATTCAGTGGAATGAATCGGAGAAGGCACAGGAGCAATTAATCGGGAGAACGATGCGGTAGAATTAATCGGGGGAATTAATCAGTGCAATGAATCAGTAGAATGCATCGGGGAAGAAACCAGTGGAATGAATCGGGAGAATGATTCATTGCAATGAATCGGAGGAGTGAATCAGTGGAACGAATCAGTGGAATGAATCAGCAAAACGAATCAGTGGAATTAATCAGAGAAGCAACCAGTTGAATTAATCGGGAGGACGATTCCGTGTTACGAATCGGTGGAATGATTCAGTGGAATGAATCGGGGAAGTGAATCAGTGGAACGAATCAGTGGAATGAATCAGCAAAACGAATCAGTGGAATTAATCAGAGAAGCAACCAGTTGAATTAATCGGGAAGACGATTCCGTGTTACTGAATCGGTGGAATGATTCAGTGGAATGAATCGGGGGAGTGAATCAGTGGAACGAATCAGTGGAATGAATCAGCGGAACGAATCAGTGGAATTAATCAGAGAAGCAACCAGTTGAATTAATCGGGAGGACGATTCCGTGTTACTGAATCAGTGGAATGATTCGGTGTGAACGACTCGGGGAATGACCCGGCGGAATGACTCAGGGGGGAACGAAATCAGCGGAACGAAATCAGCGGAACGAAATCAGCGTAACGAAATCAGCGGAACGAAATCAGCGTAACGAAATCAGCGTAACGAAATCAGCGTAACGAAATCAGCGGAACGGAATCAGCGGAACGAAGCGCTGGGCGGGCCCGCGTGGCGCACCCACGAAGCTGTTCCAGGCTGCGTCCATGTCGGCGGCGTGCGGCAGGCAGCCCTTGAGCACGTTGAGGCAGTACGCGTGGCAGGGCGGCGGCGCGGCACCGCCACCACCGCAGAGCGGGCAGTACCACAAGCGCACCAGGGAGCGCACGCACTCGGCCGACAGGGGCACCTGCACGGCAGGGAGAGACGCGGCGGGGCGGGGGGGGGGGGTGGGGGGGAGATGTGGGGGGGGGGGAGACGTGGGGGAGGAGTGGGGAGGGGAGTAGGGAGGAGACGTGGGGGGGGGAGTGGGGAGGGGACGTGGGGGTGGGGAGTGGGGAGGAGATGTGGGGGGGGGAGTGGGGAGGAGATGTGGGGGGGGGGAGTGGGGAGGAGATGTGGGGGGGGAGTGGGGAGGAGATGTGGGGGGGGAGTGGGGGGAGGAGTGGGGAGGAGACGTGGGGGGGGGAGTGGGGAGGAGATGTGGGGGGGGGGAGTGGGGAGGAGATGTGGGGGGGGGGGAGATGTGGGGAGGGGGGAGGAGCGGGGAGGAGACGTGGGGGGGGGGCAGACGTGGGGAGGAGTGGGAGGAGATGTGGGGGGGGAGTAGGGAGGAGATGTGGGGGGGTGGGTGGAAGAGTGTGTAGGAGACGTGGGGAGGAGTGGGGAGGAGATGTGGGGGGGGGGGAGGAGTGGGGAGTGTGTACTCAGCACAGAGCGTGTGTCCACCGCTGTGCCCACCGCTGTGCCCAACGGGGGCGCCGTAGCGGAGCGAGGGGTTCGTGACCTCTCCACCATACGCCTGGTTACCATGGAGGTCACACTCGGTATACACCAAGACGCAGAGAGATAAAGGTCCCCTGTGTGTCCTGTATAGACTGTTGGGGCAAGTGCTGTTTCGCGAGTAGCACCGATGAAGGCCAGGTCAGTACGAGGGGGTGGGTGGCCAGAATCACGTCCGGCCGCCTTTGTATCTCCAGTGACGATGTTTTTACACACCGCACTAGGTATTCATTTGAAGCTGAGTCGATCTAGGGGAGGCCCATGACCGGTTCAGATAATTGTCGAACTCGGGTCGCCGGGTTCGTAGCACACACACACGGACACACACACACAACAACAACCGCCATTCGCCACTAAGTGGCGGTGATGTCACCAAGGCGCTGGTGCCAGGCTATGTGCACCTTGAGGCCAAGTGAAGTGTCGAACGCCCGCGGGCAGGAGGTCACGGGGCAGACCCAAGTGCCACGGGTCGACTGACTGAGATGACTGAGATGACTGGCCGATGCATCACCTGTGCCCCCTACTGTGCCAACTTGCTGTGCTTTAGCCACCCGGCGCTCCGGTCGTTGTTGTGAGCGTCGCTCCTCCGCCCTCCGTTGTTGTTGGAGGGCGACTGCCTCCAACTGCCCAGCAGCGTCCTTCATGAGCCTCCTCCACAGAGGCCGATCTTGACACCGCTGGTACCAGTCATCGGCAAGTCCACTCAGCTCCACGTCCTCCTGTACCACATCACTCCATCTCTTCTCTAGCCCGTGCCGCGCCCGTTTAGCCCCCTCGATCCGGCCGAACAAAAGCTGTTTAGGCATGCGGTGGCTAGGCATGCGGACTACATGGCCCAGCCATCGCAGCCTTCCCCGCCGGAGGAGCTCACTGATGGGACCTTGCCCAGATCTTTTAAGGATTTGTGAGCTCCTCACACAATCCAGCCTGGTTAAACCCAGGATGGATCGTAGGCAGGCCAGCCTAAATGTGTCTAACCGGCGAAGATGTTCACTTAGCGGGGTCCATGTTTCACAAGCGTAGAGAAGGGAGGGCATGACTGTGGCCAAAAAGACCTGAAGCTTCATGCGAAGCGACAGACCAGGTAGCTTCCACACAGCGTTACGCAACCAATGAAAAGATAATCTCGCTCGATTGATTTGGAGTGAGACCTCTGCTGTCAAACCAGAGCTGCTCATGAGCACACTGCCCAGGTATGGGAAACTCTCCACTCTCTCCACAACTGCCCCATCACCGATTGGGAGTTGTGGGGGTGGAGTGTCCGATGGTACAAAATACCCAGGCAGGTGCTTAGTTTCGGTGGGGCTGATGGTAAGGCCCCATCTCTTAGTGGCACGCTCCAGTCTCAGCAGCACCGCCTCCAACTCCTCCTCTGAATGAGCAGCTATAACCAAATCATCAGCATACATAACGTGGTTGAGCAATAGGGAACCATCCCTTGACCGCACCCGGCATCGACCAGCCTCCCATTATATCTGTACCAGATGGAAATTCCCCCGGTACAGCTATTGAAGGCTTCACGAACTACGTGGTCGAAATAGATGTTAAATAATGTGGGAGCCAGAGGACATCCCTGTCGCACCCCAAGGTGTACAGGGAATGGCTCCGACTCCCGGCCACGTAGTTTTACCCGGGCCCGCTCACCATCAGGAAGGTCCTTAATGATCGTGAGCAACCGATGAAAAGACACTCAGACACACACAGATACACACACACGGACACACACGCACGGACACAAAAGATCCCCCATATAGCCTTAACAGACTGTAGGGGCAAGTGCTGTTAGCGAGCACCTATGAAGGCCGGAACGGTACACGAGGGGGTGGGTGGCCAGCACCACGCCCGACCGCCTTTGTCTCCCTAGTGGCAATGTTTACACACCGCACCAGGTACTCATTTGAGGCTGAGTCGACCTAGGGGAGGCCCGGGACCGGTTCAGATAATCGTCACTGGTGTTGGCCCTGAGCGGGAATCGAACCCGGGTCGCCAGGTTCATAGCGCGGACACACACGCACGGACACACATACAGACACACGGGGACACACACACACGGACACACACACGCACGGACACACACACACGCAGACACACACACACGGACACACACAGGGACACACACGCACGGCCACAACAACCGCCATTCACTACTAAGTGGCGGTGACGTCACCACGACGCTTGTGCCAGGTTATGTGCACCCTGAGGCCACGTGAAGTGTCGAACGCCCGCTGGCAGGAGGTCACGGGGCAGACCCAGGTGCCACGGGTCGACTGACTGAGATGACTGGCTGATGCACCACCTGTGCCCCCTACTATGCCAACCCGCTGTGCTTCAGCCACCCGGCGCTCCGCTCGTTGTTCTGAGTGTCGCTCTTCCGCCCTCCGTTGTTGTTGGAGGGCGACTGCCTCCAACTGCCCAGTAGCAGCGTCCTTCAAGAGCCTCCTCCACAGAGGCCGATCTTGACACCGCTGGTACCAGTCATCGGCAAGTCCACTCAGCTCGACGTCCTCCTGTACCACATCACTCCATCTCTTCTCTAGCCCGTGGCGCGCCCGCTTAGCCCCCTCGATCCGGCCGAACAAAAGCTGTTTCGGCATGTGGTGGCTGGGCATGCGGGCTACATGACCCAGCCAACGCAGCCTTGCCTGCCGGAGGAGCTCACCGATGGGACCTTGCCCAGATCTTTAAAGGATTTGTGAGCTCCTCACACAATCCAGTCTGGTTAAACCCAGGATGGATCGTAGGCAGGCCAGCCTAAATGTTTCTAACCGGCGAAGATGTTCCATTAGGGGGGTCCACGTTTCGCAAGCGTAGAGAAGGGAGGGAATGACCGTGGCCGAGAAGACCTGAAGCTAGTGCGGAGCGACAGACCAGGTAGCTTCCACACAGCGTTACGCAACCGATGAAAAGATATTGCCGCTCGACTGATTCGGAGTGAGACCTCTGCTGTTAAACTGGAGCCAGTCATAAGCGCACTGCCCAGGTATGGGAAACTCTCCACTCTCTCCACAACTGCCCCATCACCGATTGGGAGTTGTGGGGATGGAGTGTCCGATGGTACAAAATACCCAGGCAGGTGCTTAGTTTTGGTGGGGCTGATGGTAAGGCCCCACCTCTTAGTGGCACGCTCCAGTCTCAGCAGCAGCGTCTCCAACTCGTCCTCTGAATGAGCAGCTATTACCAAATCATCAGCATACATAACGTGGTTGAGCAATAGGGAGCCATCCCTTGACCGCACCCGGGCATCGATCAGCCTCCCATTATATCTGTACCATATGGAGATTCCCCCGGTACAGCTATTGAAGGCTTCACGAACTCCGTGGTCAAAATAGATGTTAAATAATGTGGGAGCCAGAGGACATCCCTGTCGCACCCCGAGGTGTACAGGGAATGGCTCCGACTCCCGGCCACGTAGTTTTACCCGGGCCCGCTCGCCATCATGAAGGTCCTTAATGATCGTGAGCAGAGGGTCAAATACTCCAAAAGCACGAAGAACAACCCAGAGCCCAGGCCTACTGATGGCATCATAGGCCTTGACCAGGTCACACACGGACACACACACAGACACACACACACACACAGACACACACACACACACACGGACACACACACACACGGACACACAGACACACACGCACACAGCCCCTGACCGTGCGCGTGGCGTTGGCGACGCCGGCTGCGAGCCGCAGGCCGCGCGTGAGCGAGCGCGCGGCGAGCGCCGCCCGGCCCAGCTGCGCCAGGAGCTTGCGGGGCGCGGCGCCGAAGGGCCGCAGGCTCTCGGCGAGCTTCACGGCGCACTCGAGGTCGCCGTCCGAGAAGCGGTACTGGGGGTTGAGCAGCTGCAGCATTCGCTCGAGCAGCTGGGACCAGAACTCCGACATCACCTCGCCCAGGTCGACGGCGGCGGCCGCGCGGGACGATGATGACGACGGCGGTGAGAAGAGTGACGATGGGGTCAACGAGTGGGACGATGACGAGGATGACGATGGTGGTGGTAATGGTGAGGGTGAGGATGATGAAGATGATGGTGGTGGTGGTGGTGATAAGAATGATGGTGATGGTGGTAATGGTGAGGATGATGAAGAAGATGATGATGGTGGTGGTGGCGATAAGAATGATGATGGTAATGATGAGAGTGATGAAGTAGATGCTGATGGTCGCAGTGATAATGACAAGGATGATGATAATGATAATGAGGATGATGATGAAGGTGGTGCTGGTGGTGGTGATGATGATAAGGAGATGATAATTGGTGCTTGGATGCCTGAAACAGAACCACGCAGGAAAGAGAAACCTCTCAGTGCCGATACTGCGATGAGAACATCGGACAGCCAGTATAGACGGTCGGGGGGAAGTGCCATTTGCGAGCACAACCATCGATAAGAGTAAGCCTGAGTCGACCTAGGGGAGGCCCAGGACCGGTTCAAATAATCGTGGCCATGAGCGGGGATTGTTCTCGGGTCAATGGGTTCGTTTGCACGGCGCGCTAACCTCTGCACCGCCGCTCCCCGATACAATTCACTCACGTGCATCCTGGACCACACTGCGTGGCGACGTCTCCCGTGGCGACGGCTCCTGTGGTGACGTCTCACGTGGTGACGGGTCACGTGATGACGTCTCACGTGATGACGTCTCACGTGATGACGTCTCACGTGACGACATCTCCCGTGGTGACGTCTCCCGTGGCGACGGGTCACGTGATGATGTCTCCCGTGGCGACGGGTCACGTGATGACGTCTCACGTGATGACGTCTCACGTGATGACGTCTCACGTGGTGACGTCTCACGTGATGACGTCTCACGTGGTGACGTCTCACGTGGTGACGTCTCACGTGACCCGTCATGTGACGACGTCTCACGTGACGACGTCTCACGTGGCGACGTCTCACGTGACGACGTCTCACGTGGCGACGTCTCACGTGGCGACGTCTGCAGGGCGACCGTCGCCCACGCGCCGCTCGGCGCCGCGCCAGCTGTCCCCTCTCCCAGCGTCCCCTCCGACCCGCCGACCGTTGTGCGGCGGCCGCCACCACGTGGGTGGACGGCGGGGGCCTCCCTCCTCCTCCTCCTCCTCCTCGTCGTCGTCGTCGTCGTCTTCCCGTCCGGCGCCGGGTCCGGCCGTCCACCGTCGTCCGCCCGCCGCGACCCCTCCTCCCCACGGCGTGCCCCCGCTCCGTCCGCCCGGCCTCCGGGAGATCTTCCTCCCCGGTCGGCGAGCGGCACCGCGCCCTTCCGCCGACGATCGCCGGCGTCGACGTCGGCGTCCGATCCGCGCCGAGACCGCCGGGACGCGGGGGGGGGCCCGCCGGGGGGGGGGCGGCGGTGGTGGGGGGGCCGGGGGGGGGCCGGGGGAGGGGCCCTGACGCCGGCGTACTGCCGCAGCTGGGAGAAGAGCCAGAGGAAGAGGTCAGCGTTCTGGGTGTAGATGACGCCGTAGGAGCGCACGAACATGTCGTGCAGAGACGCCTCGGCACGCCGCAGCAGGTCGCCCATGTAGTCTAGCGGGGGTGGGGGGGGGTAGGACAGAAGAGAGAGATGATAATAAACAGTCGTGTTAATCTGGGCGTGTTTTTGAAATTCTTTCGTGCAGCAGGAGAGGGCGCGCGGATAGCATACGGACACAGAGACCCATAGACTCACACAGAGACCCATAGACACACACAGAGACCCGTAGACTCACACAGAGACCCATAGAGTCACACAGAGACCCATAGAGTCACACAGAGACCCATAGAGTCACACAGAGACCCATAGACTCACACAGAGACCCATAGAGTCACACAGAGACCCATAGAGTCACACAGAGACCCATAGAGTCACACAGAGACCCATAGACTCACACAGATACACATAGACTCACACAGAGACCCGTAGACTCACACAGAGACCCATAGACTCACACAGAGACCCACAGAGTCACACAGAGACCCATGGAGTCACACAGAGACCCATAGAGTCACACAGAGACCCATAGACTCACACAGAGACCCATAGAGTCACACAGAGACCCATAGAGTCACACAGAGACCCATAGTGTCACACATAGACACATAGAGTCACATAGAGACCCATAGAGTCACACAGAGACCCATAGATTCACACAGAGACCCATAGATTCACACAGAGACCCATAGACTCACACAGAGACACATAGATTCACACAGAGACCCATAGATTCACACAGAGACCCATAGACTCACACAGACCCATAGTCACACAGAGACCCATAGAGACACACAGAGACCCATAGAGTCACACAGAGACACATAGATTCACACAGAGACCCATAGATTCACACAGAGACCCATAGACTCACACAGACCCATAGAGTCACACAGAGACCCATAGACTCACACAGAGACCCATAGAGTCACACAGAGACCCATAGACTCACACAGAGATCCATAGACTCACACAGAGACCCATAGAGTCACACAGAGACCCATAGAGTCACACAGAGACCCATAGACTCACACAGAGATCCATAGACTCACACAGAGACTCATAGACTCACACAGAGACCCATAGACACACACAGAGACTCGTAGACTCACACAGAGACCCATAGAGTCACAAAGAGACCCATAGAATCACACAGAGACCCATAGACTCACACAGAGACCCATAGACACACACAGAGACTCGTAGACTCACACAGAGACCCATAGACACACAAAGAGACTGGTAGACTCACACAAAGCCCCAGAGTCACACAGAGACCCATAGACTCACACAGATACACATAGACTCACACAGAGACCCGTAGACTCACACAGAGACCCATAGACTCACACAGAGACCCACAGAGTCACACAAAGACCCATAGAGTCACACAGAGACCCATAGAGTCACACAGAGACCCATAGACTCACACAGAGACCCATAGAGTCACACAGAGACCCATAGAGTCACACAGAGACCCATAGTGTCACACAGAGACACATAGAGTCACATAGAGACCCATAGAGTCACACAGAGACCCATAGACTCACACAGAGACCCATAGATTCACACAGAGACCCATAGACTCACACAGAGACACATAGATTCACACAGAGACCCATAGATTCACACAGAGACCCATAGACTCACACAGACCCATAGTCACACAGAGACCCATAGAGACACACAGAGACCCATAGAGTCACACAGAGACACATAGATTCACACAGAGACCCATAGATTCACACAGAGACCCATAGACTCACACAGACCCATAGAGTCACACAGAGACCCATAGACTCACACAGAGACCCATAGAGTCACACAGAGACCCATAGACTCACACAGAGATCCATAGACTCACACAGAGACTCATAGACTCACACAGAGACCCATAGACACACACAGAGACTCGTAGACTCACACAGAGACCCATAGAGTCACAAAGAGACCCATAGAGTCACACAGAGACCCATAGACTCACACAGAGACCCATAGACACACACAGAGACTCGTAGACTCACACAGAGACCCATAGACACACAAAGAGACTGGTAGATTCACACAAAGACCCAGAGTCACACAGAGACCCATAGACTCACACAGAGATCCACAGACTCACACAGAGACCAACAGATTCACGCAGAGACCCACAGACTCACGCAGAGACCCACATACTCACCTAGAGACCCACAGACTTATGCAGAGACCTATAGTTTAATGTCCTTCCCCCTGCACCTCTGATTAGCGGGGTCGGTTCGTATGGTGGTGCAAAATGAGATCAACAATAGCAGCAGCAGCGTGCCAAGTGGCCAACCGTGCCAAGTGGCCAACCGTGCCAAGTGATCAACCGTGCCAAGTGGTCAACCGTGCCAAGCGGCCAACCGTGCCAAGCGGCCAACCGTGCCAAGCGGCCAAACCGTGCCGCGCGCTGCAAGGCGCGTTACCGTCCATCTTGCCGTACTGCGACTCAAAGGCGGCCAGCGGGAAGTGGCTGGTCTCCTCCACCAGGCGCTGCAGGTCCAGTCGGGCGGCCGGGCCCAGCTGGGCCTCCACGGAGCGCGAGCAGCAGGAGAGGGCGCGCGGACGGCAGACCGACAGGTGATGGCCTTGCGGGGGCGGGTGAGGGTTGGTGGTGGGTGGGGTGAGGTTCGAGAACAACAACAACAACGGGGTCTAATTTCGGTTCTCGCGTAAATAATTTTTTTTCGTTTACATTATACCCACGCGACCAACGACGTATACCCCGGACAAGAAGCCGATTGTGAGACTGTTAAACTAAAAACTGCGAAAAAAACGATTTTAGAATTTTAGCAGGTAAGGCCCCCAACTGAGCTATATTGATATTTTTTTCAGAAGCGAACTGGCCCACAAATGACAGCTCAACGAACTGGCCCATCACGTGAATATTTACAGCAACCAAATACTCTGAACGCGCGACGTTGATTCTGAATGCGGAATGGAGAAACCGGAGGACCCCGAGAAAAATCCGCACGACCACGGGGAGAGGGAGACACGCGAACTCCAAATACAGGGACTCCTCTACTTAAGAACATTCGACTTGCGAACTTTCAGAGATACGAACAAACCTGTCCGTATGTTGGGTTGTCTGTTCGGACCGAGTGTCGTAAGTTCAACCGCCGCGCGAAGAACCGGTGGCATCTACAGGAGATTGTACAACTCTTAAAACCATTCCCCGTGTTTAGTGTACACGCCGTACGTGTCTCAAATCGACGGGAGTAAAGTTGGACTTACGAACAAATCGACTTACGAACGTAACTCTGGAAACCTAACTCGTTCGTAAGTAGTGGAGTGAGTCCCTGTATACAACAGGCATCACCGGGTCAGGATCGAACCCGCGACCTCCTGCATACCGGGCGAGGTAGTTAACATCCCCTGGCTCACTGCAGGAGCTCACCGTTATCCGCTGAGCTCGCAGGATCCGACGCGCTGCTTCCACGGTCCGAGTTAAAGCACAGGGGTGGAGAGGGGGGGGGGGCTCTCTTGGCCGTGGGGGGCTTTTGGCAAGCTGGGTCGATAAACCCGCGGTGGCGACGGGGAGGAGGGGGGTGGTGGCTAGGAATCTATGACGGGGGACGGTGGGGAGAGGGGGTGGAAGCTTCCCGCTGGGTGACGGAGCACTCCGGCAGTCTGTCAATAAGCGGCGGCTGCGATTAAATATTGAGAGGCTGCGAGTACGCGCGCGGGTGGGGGTGGGGAGAGGGGGAGGGTGGGGGAATTTGCTTCGAGGGGTTACCCGAGCGAGTTTTACAGCGGCGGCTACGCACGCCTTTGCGTCGACGAGCAGTGGCGCTACGAACCCTGCCAACCGAGTTAAGATTCCCCGCACCGGTGACGATTATCTGAACCGGCCCCCCCCCCCCGCCACTAGGTCGACTCGGCCTCAAATGAGTATCTGGTGCAGTGTGTACATGTGGCTATTAGGGAGACAAAGGCGGCCGGGCGTGGTGCTGGCCACCCACCCCCTCGTGTGTGCCGTGCCGGCCTTCATAGGTGCTGCTCGCTAACAGCACTTGCCCCTACAGTCTGTGTAGGCTACACGGGGGGGACCTTTGTCTTTGCGTATGAGTTTGATTCCCGCTCAGGGCCACCGACACCAGCGGCGATTATCTGGACCGGTCCTGGGCCTCCCCTAGGTCGACTCAGCATCAAATGAGGTAAAGTGCTCCTTCGTATGACAATTGGTTTAACCCTTGCTGGCAATGAAACAGTTTGTGTTAAGATGTTAGAACACCAAACAGAATCATGTCTGCATTAAGGGGCCGTCCATAAATGACGTCAGACATTTGTGACGATGTGTGACGAGGGGAGGGGGGGGTTGAGAAATGTGACGTCACATCAAAATGCGCAACTTTAAATAAATATAGACAACACGTTCTACTTAATTAAATAGACATTTTAATAAATGTGTTCTCCTACAACATCAGAGTGCAGCGCCACATTAAATACGCACTACAATGACAATAGTTTAAAGCGATTTGAAGCATGTTTTATATTTTTTTTGGGGGGGGGGCAGAGCTTTGTGACGTCATATTTGAGGGGGGGTCTGACTTTTTGTGGCGCCGTGTGACGAGGGGGGGGGAGGGGTCAAAAATCGCGTGACGTCAGTTATGGACGGTCCCAATGTATTCCTTATATATCCATGTTTCTATTAATATCAATGCTTTAATATGTTCTCATAACATTTATTTATTAAAATTGCGTGTTTAAATATTGTAAACTATGCGTTTAGGGTGAAAGGGTTCAACTATTGATCGCCTTGGAACAAATTAAGCCTTTAAAGTGCATTTCCTGTATTAGATTGACGATCATTTTAATGTGCGGTGGTTTTCGTGGAACCAATTATTATCATATTCTTGGTTCTTTCGGTAAAGTCACGTAGAAGGGAAACAATAAAATACTATTTATTCTTTCGGTAAAATAATAATAATATTATTTTATTGTTTCCCTGCTAAAATAATAAATATCGTTTTATTGTTTCCCTTCTACGTGGTGACTTTACCGAAAGAACCAAGAATATTAATCCCTGCAGTCACGAAAGCTTTAAATCAAAATCCAATTAATATCGTTAACCGAGGGACCACTGGACCTAAACATCACCACGGCACACGAGGGCGTGGATGGTCAGCACCACGCCCGGCCGCCTTTGTCTCCCCAGTGGCGATGCTTATACATTGCACCAGATGCTCATTTGAAGCTGAGTCGGCCTAGGGGAGGCTCCAGGACCGGTTCAGATAATCGTCACCGATGTTTGTTGGCCGTGAGCGGGAATCTAACTTCGGGTGACGCTGGGATTCGCAGGGGCATGGAGCGCTTGCGCAAAACGCAGCCACTTTTTTTTTTAAATACTTGAAAGTCTGCCAACGCAACATTCGGTGGAGTGATTTGTTAAATTCGAAAAGAAATTGTTACTTAAAAAAGAGCCATCCCCAATGAATAAAAGCGACCGATTATTTTGTCTCTCTCACCAGCGTCGCTTTCAACAAAACCGCGTATAGTAATAGGTTTTACCCTGTTAACTGGCACAAAAACCTATTACTATATCTTGTTACTGGCAAAGGAGGTCTCATAACGAATTTGTGAGTTTTTTTTTTAAACGGAGGCACCCTTTTGTCAGGTGCACACAAGTGGCGTTGGCCATGAGCGTTGTGTACGCGACGGTAATTTTGGTACAGAGATGTCTATTTTAATTTATTTCGCGTAAGGCGCCCCGAAGCATTTTGTTGGGTCCGCTGCACCGTTAGGAAAAAACGAAAGATGATAAACACATGGCGAAAACGTGCCGATGTGTCTTGTTTTGTTAACGGCGGCGTGATGTGAGCTCCCTTGCCTGGTATGCAGTAGGACATGGGTTCAATCCCGACCTTGACGCCTGTTGTATATTTGGAGTTTGCGTGTCTCCCCCCGTGCTCGCGTGGATTTCTATCCGGGCCCTCCGGTTTTTCCCACCAAAATGTTGAACCAAGCAAACGCGTTGAGAGCTTTTTGGCTGTGGTAAAATTCCACGCGATGTTAAGCCGTTTGTGTTGAGCTGTAAAATAGGTGGTCAGGTCGCTTCTCAAAAAATATCGACATGGCTCAGTGGGCCATACCTGGTGTACAATAAAAAATATATATTTTAGTTTAGTTTATATTGCTCTGGAAAACATTGCCCATCAATCTGTCCGTCTGTCCCATCATTCTGCCCGCCATCCGAGGACAAAATCCACGTCCTACCGGTAAATTATGACATCCCTCCCTCTCTGGGAGGCACTGGCAAAATCTGCGCCTCAATTCCACAGCGGGGAGCATCGGAGTGCAGTGATTTGAGTGAGCTGCTGAAACGCCACTCCCCACACAAAGACAAAGCTTCCCCGCCACCCACCCGTATAGCCCACACAGGCTGCTTGGCTGCTGTTAGCGAGCACCGGCTCAACAGCGGCAGAAGTTGGCCATCAACACGCCCGGCCACCTTTCGTCTCCCTGGTGGCGATGTGTTTTCTGTGTTTTTTTTGTTGTTGTTAGGCACCACGCCAACCTACTCATTTTTCGTCTGAGTCGACCTAAGAGAGGCCCACGGCCGGTTCAGACAACCGTTGCTGTCTGCTGGCGGCCCGCGAGCCGGGGAATCGAACTCGACTCGCGACCGTTTGGCGGGCACCTGGCAGAAGGAAGGGAGCGGCGGCGGCTGCACCAGCGGCCCGGGTCGAACCTCGACCTCCAATCGCTACAAACCCTTGGGGCAACTTCAGTGGGCGGGGGGGGGGACCTGGTCTGACCCTCGATTCCTCCAGGATAAATAAAGCATCGCGAAGCTGATTCTGACTCAATTTCTGTAAAAGCTCGGCTTTCCCCCAAGGCGGGCCCACACTGCTGCTCCCCTAGCCCCCCCCCCCCCCCCCAACACTCTCCCGTTATTTACAACCTACTTTTGTTTATTGACTATTTACAGAATCTCGGGGTGCTCCAGCGGCGGCGCTTCATGCCAGGGTCGCGGAAACCTCTCCGGGGCTTTGGCCGAGGTTACCGGAGTCTCGGCCGGAGTTGGCGTCGACCGGCCCCCCCCCCCCTCCCTGCCTGCCTGCCTGCGGCGGTTACCGTTGAGAGCAATTGGGGAGAGATTTAGTTTCGTTCCAAGAGTCGGGGATATTTGGAGAAAATCGAATTTAATTGAGACGTCTCCCCCCCGGAATGGCTCCTCGCGTCGGCGTTGGCAACCCGTAGAGTCCAGTGTGCTTTGTGTGGGCCCACCCGGTGGCCAGGGACGGGTCAACCCCCCACGGGCCGATTCGGGCCTTGAAGGCCCTCGCTCGTTCGCGTCGCCTCCCTTCCGTTTAGGCCTCCCCGTTCTACGTTGAAGTTCACGGCCTGAGCGAAAGTAGTTATGGCGGTGGGGGGGGGGGGAATAAATAAAGTATTCGTTTTGATTTAAAGCTTTCGTGACTGCAGTAATTCATATTCTTAGTTTTTTCGGTAAAGTCACGTTGAAGAGAAACAACAAAATAACAAAATATATATAAAACAATAAAAAATTCTCACGACGTTTCGACCATAACTCAAACGGTCATCATCAGGTGTGTTGGTTTGCATAAATTTATTTTTATTTTTCAAAATGTGCCGTTTAAAAATAAATTTATGCAAACCAACACACCTGATGATGACCGTTTGAGTTATGGTCGAAACGTCGTGAGAATTTTTTATTGTTTTATATATATTTTGTTATTTTGTTGTTTCTCTTCAACGTGACTTTACCGAAAAAAACTAAGAATATAAAGTATTCGTTGTGAAGAAATAAGCGGAGCGAATTCGTGTTCGATGGATGTGACCTCCAGATAGAATCAATGTGTCCAAATTTACATAGGTAAATAAAAACAAATCGTTTGATAACTTTTTTATATATCTAAACACCCTAAAAATCGCAGCATACAATAGCTGTACGTAACGTACGACTACTGTATGTTGCGACTATGTCCAACTCTCAGGCTGGGTGAGCTATCGCCTAAAGTCACAGCCCGGTCGTTTTAGGGTTGGCTCTACGCAATCCACGTGCGTGCGGGAGAGAAAGAGAGGAGAATGAGGAGGATGAATAGGATGAGGAGGATGAATTGGATGAGGAGGATGAATAGGAAGAGGAGGATGAATAGGATGAGGAGGATTAGGAGGATCAATAGGATGAAGAGGATTAATAGGATGAGTAGCATGAGAAGGATGAATAGGATGAGGAGGAATAATAGGATGAGGAGGATGAGGCTGAGAAGGATGAATAGGATGAGTAAGATGAGGAGGATGAATGGGATGAGGAGGATTAATAGGATGCGGATTTAGGATGATGAATAGGATGAGTAATATGAGAACGCGGAGGATGAGGAGGCTGAGGAGGATTAGCATGATTAATAGGATGAGGAGGATTAGGATGATTAATAGGCTGAGGAGGATGAATAGGATGAGGAGGATGAGGGGGCTGAGGAGGATTAGAATGATTAATAGGATGAGGAGGATTAGGATGATTAATAGGCTGAGGAGGATGAATAGGATGAGGAGGATGAGGAGGATTAGGATGATTAATAGGATGAGAAGGATTAGGATGATTAATAGGCTGAGGAGGATGAATAGGATGAGGAGGATGAGGAGGATTAGGATGATTAATAGGATGAGAAGGATTAGGATGATTAATAGGATGAGGAGGATTAGGATGATTAATAGGATGAGGAGGATGAGGAGGCTGAGGAGGATGAGGAGGCTGAGGAGGGCTGAGCATGGACGGTGGCACACCTGGCACGGGCCTGGCGAGGACTTGCACGGTTCCCGCTGCACCCTGGTTGGTCACCCTCCGGAACGTCGGGCATGAGAGTCGGTCCGCTCCGAGGCAGGAGCCGGCGGAGAGCAGCGCCCAGAGCAGTCCCACAAAGCAGCGCGACATCTCGCACGTGGGGAATGTCCGGGAAGCTGTCAGAGTTTGTTTTACATCGGGGGGGGGCTGGGGGGCGGAGGAGGAGGGGGAGGGGGGTGAAGAGGTCACAGGCTCAGAGACGTTGTTACTGGGCACGCGCGAGAAAGAGCTTCATAGCCCATCGGATTCCTCCGGTATAAATATTCTGCTTGTGCACGAATGCACTGACGGGGAGGTCACGGGGTCGTGGCCGTTGCCCCGCCGCGTTTCGCCATTGGCTTCCCATCGCAACCGAGGCCACAGGCTGAGAACAGCAGCAGCAGCCAGACGGGGAAGATCACGGGAGTGTCAGGTTCAATCCACTGCTGCATGAGGGCCTGGCCATTGCTGTGCAGGTCACGTGGGAGGGGGGGGGGAGGGGGGTACCCGTCACGCAAAGACAAAGGTGGCCCGTGTAGCCCACGCAGGCTCCGTGCGGAAAGTGCTGTTAGCGAGCACCTATTAAGGCCGTCACTGCGCGCGCATGTAAGGCGGTGGTGTGGTCAGCACCACGCCCGGCCGCCTTTGTCTCCCTCGTGGCGACGTTTACACACACACACACACTTCAATCTAACGCAATGCATCTTAATACATACACACGCAAACCCACTGTCTCTCACATTCAATGTCTTGACGCAGAACTCGCACACAAACACTCACACACTCAAATGAGCTCACACGTAGGCACCAACAACAACATCCCGTTCGTCAAATAAGCGGTGGTGATGTCACCATGGTGCTTGTGCCAGGCTAGGTGCACCTTTAGGCCATAAAGTGTTGGAGGCTCGCTGGCAGGTCACTTGATAGACCCAGGTGCCATGGGTTGACTGACTGACAAGGTTGGCATCGCACACACACACATCACACACACACTCATCACATACACACATACACACTCATCACATACACACACACTCGTCACATACACACACACACTCATCACACACTCGCCGCATACACACACTCATCACACACACACACTCATCACACACACACTCATCACATACACACACACACTCATCACACACACACACTCATCACATACACACACTCATCACACACATATACACACACACTCATCACACACACACTCATCACATACACACACACTCATCACACACACACTCATCAGATACACACACACACTCATCACACACACTCATCACATACACACATACACACTCATCACACACACACTCATCATCATCTCAAACACATCACACTCATCATACACACACACTCATAATCTCACACACATCACACTCATCACACACACACTCATCATCATCACACACTCATCACATACACACACACACTCATCACACACACACTCATCATCATCACACACTCACACTCATCACTCATACACACACACTCATCACACACACACATCACACACACTCATCACGCTCATCACACACACACTCATCACACACACACATTCATCACACACACACACTCATCACACACATCACACACACTCATCACACACACACTCATCACACACACATTCATCACACACATCACACACACTCATCACACACACTCATCACACACACACATTCATCACACACACATCACACCCATAATCACTCATATATACACACACACTCATCACACACACACACTAATCACACACACACACTCATCACACACACTCATCACACACACACTCATCACACACATCACACACACTCATCACACACACACACTCATCACACACACTCATCACACACACACACATCACACCCATCATCACTCATATATATACACACACACATCACACTCATCACACACACACTCATCACACACATCACACACAAACATTAATCACATACACTCATCACACTCATCACACACATTACACACACACATCACACACACTCATCACACACACTCATCATCATCTCACACTCTCATCACTCATATACACACACACACTCATCACACACACCCATCACACACACACTCATCACACACACTCATCACACACACACACTCATCACACACACATTCATCACACACACACTCATCACACACACTCATCACACACACACACTTATCACACACATCACACACAAACATTAATCACACACACTCATCACACTCATCACACACACTCATCACACACACACATCACACACACACTCATCACACACACACTCATCACATACACACTCATCACACACACTCATCACACACACACACTCATCACACACATCACACACACTCATCACACACACACTCATCACACACTCATCACACACACACACTCATCACACACTCATCACACACACTCATCACACACACACTCATCATACACACTCATCACACACACACACTCATCACACACACCCATCACACACACACATTCATCACACACTCATCACACACAACCCTACTGTCTCACACACACTCATCACACACACACACTCATCACACACACTCATCACACACACTCATCACACACAACCCTACTGTCTCACACACACTCATCACACACACTCATCACACACAACCCTACTGTCTCACACACACACACATTCAATGTCTTGACACACATTTCATCATACACACGTCTCTCTTACATACAAATCAACACAAATATGCACCATCTCACATGCACGTGGATGACTAAAAAACATAGACTCTCACACACATGCATTGCCCTGCACACAACACACATTAAATACTCATTAAAATATTGGGTCGTGTTGTTAGCGAGCACCTATTAAGGCACACAAACGGCTGGTGTGGCCAGCACCATGCGCGGCCGTCTTTGTCTTCCCACTGCTGATATCCACACGCCAAAGCCGTCTACTCAAGGCTGCGTCGACCTACAAACATAACAGACTGTAGGGGCAAGTGCTGTTATCGAGTAGGGGGGGGGGTGGGTGGCTACCACCACACCCAGCCGCCTTTGTCTCGTGAGTAGCGATGATTACACATCACACGAGGTACTCATCTAAGGCGGAGTTGACCTCTACACACACGACCACACACAGACTCACATCCCAATGGGGGGTACTGAATTCAACAGACACGCCCAAGACTCATAGAGCCAGACTAAGGCACATTAAAACAAAAAACTACAACTGCATACGCAGAATATTGAGTTTTAACCATCATATACACACACACACATCAGCGCTTACTAGTAACACACAACGCGTTCTAATTTATCGGTGTTAATTAAATGCAATGCGTGCTGACCAGAGTGGTGAAGTATGGCCAACCAACCCAACCGTGATCGGCACGGTGGCGAACCGGGAGGATTTTAGTTAAATCCATCTAGCAGTGGATTTTCCAACCGGCCAATGACGACGATTATTATCATCATCATCATAATCCAGATGACCGCGGCATTTGCTCGTTAGACATCATGCTCGGGATGCGATGTAACGGGTTAAACTAGAAGGCAGTGGAGCAATGCTCCCGATTTCGTACAGGAAACAGCATCGTCGTCACACTCAAAACATCACGCGTCAATGATGTTACTCGTTTGCAGCAAACGCGCACAAAACGATATATCAATCTATAGACACCTACGCACACATCTGCCGAATTGTCATCATTTCGCCCACAACAGTCGAGATTATTAACGTCAACTCGCAAAGAGCGCGTTAAATGACCTCAAATTCAAGGCTATGTCACCACCACCACTCCTCCCACCGATTCTCTATATTTACGTTCGAAACAATGCGAACGCGCTGTGTGACATTAGAAAGGTCGCGTCCGCGCGGAATTACCACGACGTTTGTAATGCAGACCATAACACGTGGAGTCCATCGCCAAAGAACGAGCGTCTTAAGAGGCCAAAATCCGGAGTGGCGATGGAGCTCGCGATTCGCCGACCTGACCGGAACGGCTTCGTCGGCTGCGTCGGCGTCTCGGTCGAAGGAGACAAAGGCGGACCGCGTCCTTACCACGGCCAGAGCGCAGTCGGAGCGCGCACAAAGAGGTGGAGCCCCTGGGTTCTTCGATGAGCGCTTGGTGCGTGCAGACTATATCATTGTTGCACAACGTGTGTGTGTGTGCACAACGTGTGTGTGTGTGCGTACAGGCGCGTGTGTGTACACGTGTGTGTGTGTGTGCGTTAGGCGTGTGTGGAGCGAGCCATGGATGTGTGCGGGGATGTCTACGTCTGGGATCTGTGCCCACGATGAAGCCCGCCTCAGCTCACACGCGCTCAACAATCCGCACGTGTGTGTGTGTACACGTGTGTGTGTACACGTGTGTGTGTACACGTGCGGGTGTGTGTGTGTACACACGTGTGTGTGTACACGCGTGTGTGTGTGTACACGCGTGTGTGTGTACGTGTGTGTGTACACGTGTGTGTGTGTACGTGTGTACACGTGTGTACACGTGTGTGTGTACGTGTGTGTGTGTACGTGTGTTCACGTGTGTGTGTACACGCGCGTCTGGGGTGCGTGTGGGTAGAGCGCGTAGGGAGCGGTGGCGCAGCGGTTAGCGCGCTGCGCTAGGGACCCCCCCCCCCGCCTACGAAGCCGAGTTCGATCCCCGCTCACGGCCATCCACCACCAGTGCCGATTCTCCTGAACCGGTCCTGGGTCTCCCCTAGGTCAACTCAGCCTCAAACGAGTAACCCGGTGCGGTGCTTAAATAATCGCTACTCGGGTAGACAAAGTCGGCCGGGCGTGGTGCTGACCACCCCACCCACGTGGTGCTGACCACCCCACCCACGTGGTGCTGACCACCCCACCCCGCCCCACCCCCGTGGTGCTGACCACCCCACCCCACCCCTCGTGGTGCTGACCACCCCACCCCACCCCGCCCCGCCCCCGTGGTGCTGACCACCCCACCCCGCCCCACCCCACGTGGTGCTGACCACCCCACCCCACCCACGTGGTGCTGACCACCCCACGTGGTGCTGACCACCCCACCCCACCCTCGTGGTGCTGACCACCCCACGTGGTGCTGACCACCCCACCCCACCCTCGTGGTGCTGACCACCCCACGTGGTGCTGACCACCCCACCCCACCCTCGTGGTGCTGACCACCCCACCCCACCCACCCCCGTGGTGCTGACCACCCCACACCACCAGCATCCGGCGTGGCCCTGAGCCTCTTTTCTTGACATGGACAATTTCGGCGTTTCGCGGCCACCCCCTTGAACTCCCTGCGGTGGGGCTCTCAAATATTCACGCCTCGCCCCAAACCGATGTCCTGTTTTCTCTATCCCCCCATGTGTGAAGATATATGCATATAAGCATACACACCCTATACATACTATACTAGAGTCAAGTAGTATCTACTTGACTCTATTGTAGTGTATACAGTGCATCAGTAGATACTACTGACTGAATATGCAGGGTGTGTAGTGACTCTATTGTACGTGTAGTGATCTATATTGGGTCACTACGGCGCTTAGCGCCAGCTACTGATGGAAGAGTGGAACTGCGAGTCTTAGAGCCTCTCTCTGACACCAGAGTTTGTTATGGCATGGAAGGGGGCCCCTAGGGGGCATGGTTCTGGTGACTGTCAGAGAGAGAGGGCAGCTGAGGACGTGACAGTCTGGTTGAACCCGAGAGGGCACGTGACCAGGACAGGGTAAGAATGTGGGCCAAAGGTGGCGAGAGGGACACGTGGTGTATGGCCCAGAACCTTCTGGAAGGATCCAGAAGGGGGCGTGACCGAGGGCGGAGCCAGGCCACGCTCAGGGGCATAAAAGGGAGGTCCCGAGAGCCGATCGGGGCTGTCTTCTGGAATGGAACCTCGCCTTGCTACGTCTCTTCGATCTCCAGTCTTCACCCTCGGCATTGTGGGCCACGCAGTGTGTTAACTGACCTGACCCGGTTATATAGTAACCCCGTGGTGGTTACCGCTATATAGTTATCCCGTTGTACGTGTATATAGTTACCCCGTTGTGGTCAGATAATAAACGTGTTGCCTCCTAAGTCAAGTGCGTGTCTCAAATGAAACCACTACATATGTAGAGGTAGGTATATAATGTATATATGCCTCCAAAATTAAATTAAAACGGGGGGTTCGACAACTTTTGGAAACCTATTTCGATCAACTTTTTACCCCCACATCTGGGAGGTGGGGGGGTCCCACTTTCTGTGACTCTTTGGTTTATGGCCTTCTGAAAGGCTCTCTTAGCATTTAGTTGACGGACAAACGGACACACGGAAAGCCGGGCTCTGTGTCGTGGTAGATAGTACGGGGAGCAGCAAAAAGGTGGTGCCTCTGGCGAGTCATCCCGGTCAAGTCAACCCATGGGCACCCTGGGTCTGTGACTTTGCAGCAGCGAGTCGTTGGACACTTTCACGTGGCCTCAAATGCCCGCCTGTCAACCCCTTATCGGTGCCCTACCGTATCACAGACCAATTAGGACCTTATTGGTCACCCCCGTGCCCCTTAGAAATCTCAACGTTCATCCTACAAAGTCCCATCACAAGGGAGGAGAAACACAAATAGACAAAAAAAAATTTCCGTATTGAAACGGCTGCACGCCGTATGGACCTGAACACTCAATTCCCCTGTACAAGAATACGGGGTGAACCATATGGGTTGACAGCTGTGCAAGTGGTGCACCTAGCCTGGCACAAAGCGCCGTGGTGACGTCACCGCCACTTATGCACGCACGCGACCACACACGCGGTGTGAATGAACGTCTCGTGTCAATGTGATGACAGCATACATATACTGTATTTACAAACTCCTCTGCACTGCACAGTCGAGTTGCTTACACTTACCGTGGGCATTCTCTGCAACCGATTGGGATCAAGCGTGCAATGGTGGCGATGCAGAAGAGGCATTGCCTCCGATTCGCACGGTTGGTTAACGCACGGTGCGAAAGAAGTTCAACATACACACACAGACGAGATACAAACATCATACTTTCTTGTCGACCCTTTAGAAACACAGGGGTTATTGATACATATTTTTGAGTTAATTTGTTATGCGTGGTTGTCATTTTGAACATGGCTCTCCCCCCCTCCAAGTCCTGGTTCTATTAAAACCTCATTTGCTTGCTGTTTTTAATACCAGCTGTCGATTACCCAACATGATCATCTTTGAGAATAGGTTTTACCCTTTTTCTGGCAACAAAGCAGCTGTGTTAAGATGTTAAAACACCAAACTGAAACCTTTTACAAGGCATCATGTCTGCATTAACCACAATACTCTGATCATATAATTGGCATTGTCTTTGAAACTGATTGTTCCACACCAGAGACAGCTTTCTTTTGAGCCTCGTCTCAAACGGTGTTAGACCAGAGGGCGTTTTTTGTGTGCATTCTGACCACAATTATTGTGGTTAATGCAGACGTGATTAATTGTACAAGGTTTCAGTTTGGTGTTTTAACATCTTAACACCTGTTTGTTGCCAGCAAAAAAGGGGAAAACCTATTTTTGGTATTGGCAAAGGAGGTCCTATGACATCATCTTCCTCGCCCGGTATGCAGGTCGGGGGTTCGATCCTGACGCCTGTACATTTGAAGTTTGCGTGTCTCTCCCCGTGGTCGCGTGGATTTTATTTTCTCCGGGTCTCTGGTTTTCCCCCTCCACATTTAGAACCAACATCACGCGTGTTTAGAGTATTTGGCTTGCATTACATTTCCACGTGATAAGCCACTTCGCTGGGCTATCATTTGGGGCCAGGTCGCTTCTGCGAACGAAGTTAATAGCTTGAGAGGGCTTTACCTGGTAATGATGCACCGCTACGGTGCGTACGAGCGTTCAGGGTTTCAGCGCAATCGTCCTCACTGCGTATCGACATCGCTGAGTGTGGCACCGATTTCGGATTGATTGGTACCCCAGTCACGGAGTGAAGTACACCCCTGGAAAAAATAGTGTCCCAGAAATAAAATATTTAATTGCCTCGGCCAGTTTGTATTATTTGGTAGCCCCGGGGGATACCGTCATAAGGATCACCTGTGAAAAAGGAGCTTTATAGCTGATCGGATTCCTCCGGTATAAATATTCAGATTCTGATTTTTTTTCAATTATTGACAGCTCATCCTCAGTCCAGTGCTCGTTAAAAGTCTCGCCATGCTGTTGGTCAGGGGGGTTTGTTTGACCATACTTCACCACAGCTTGTTCATTGCAGGTTGATGAATGGAGAGGCCCAAGATAGGCTCTGACATCAGGTCGCTACTGATGTTAGCCGTGGCCGGGAATCGAACTCAGGTGACCGGGTTCACAGTGTGTTTGTATGTATGCGTGTTGAACTTCTTTCGCACCGTACGTAGCCAACCATGCTAATCGGAGGTGCGGGGGAAGGACAACAAACTAAACACAAAAAGCAGTACTAAAGAAATTAGTTTTTAATCTAGATTATTTAAAAGTGCATAGCTCCCAGCAGCTTTCTAATATCAGAAGAGCGTTCCAGACGGCCGCAGAAGCGCATCTGAAAGTGCCACGGGTGACCCACAGCTCGGTTTGTCACCGATGCATATAAATCCACGTACACAATTCAACACTTTCCCAAATGTAATTTTACTCAAGTGTAATATTAACCAACGTGTACACTTCACAAATACACGAATCACTTAACGCAAGACTTCTGGAATTTCATCCCATTTTATCCAGCACGCGTGGATCAGTAACACGGATGCTCTAGTAACAAGAGGCGAATGCGTAAAAGATAAACGATTGTAGATTGGGCGCCGCGGTGGTCAGGTGTTAACTCCCTCGCCTGGTATGCAGGAGGTCGTGGGTTTCGATCCCGACCCTGACGACTGAATATTTGGAGCTTGCTTGCTCTCCCCGTGGTCGCGTGGATTTTTATTCGGGTCCTCCGGTTTTTCCCTCCACATTTCCACGTGATAAGCCACTTTGTTGAGCGATAATTTGCGGCCAGGTCGCTTCTGAGAGAGAGCTACATAGCTCAGTGGGCCTTACCTGGTAAAATAAAACTAGTTTATAGTTCAGTTTAAATTGCACGTCACATGTCTAAACGAATATACACACACACACACGGTCCGCATCACCTACGCGAATGAAGATGGAACAAAGCAGAGAAGTTACGCAAAGAACGGAGAGATGCACGCTTTTGAATATTACACCGAGAGCCGGCAAAAAGAGGAACATGCGGAAGTGGGGAACAATCGATAATTCGAGAACTCCAGTTGATTGCGAAGAAAAGTACATGGGCCTGGGCTGGACACGATGCACAAAGGAACGGTGGTCTGTTGTCCTTCCACCCGCACCTCCGACCAGCACGGTTGACTATGTACGGTGCAAAAGAAGTTCAACATACGTACATATATAGACTCACACAGAGACCCATAGACTCACACAGAGACCCATAGACTCACACAGAGACCCATTGACTCACAGAGATTCAGACTCACACAGAGACCCATAGACTCGCACAGAGACCCATAGACTCACACAGAGATCCAGACTTACACAGAGACCCATAGGCTCACACAGAGATCCAGACTTACACAGAGACCCATAGACTCACACAGAGACCCATAGACTCACGAAGAGATCCAGACTCACAGAGACCTATAGACTCGCACAGAGACCCATAGACTCGCACAGAGACCCATAGACTTAGAGACCCATAGACTCACACAGAGACCCATAGACTCACACAGAGACCCATAGACTCACACAGAGATTCAGACTCACACAGAGACCCATAGGTTGCACAGAGACCCATAGACTCACACAGAGACCCATAGGCTCACACAGAGATCCAGACTCACACCGAGACCCATAGACTCACAGAGAGACCATTGACTCACACAGAGATCCAGACTCACAGAGACCTATAGACTCGCACAGAGACCCATAGACTCACAGAGACCCATAGACTCACACAGAGACCCATAGACTCACACAGAGATCCAGACTCACACCGAGACCCATAGACTCACAGAGACCTATAGACTCACACAGAGACTCATAAACTCACACAGACACCCGTAGACTCACACAGAGATCTATAGACTCACACAGAGACCCGTAGACTCACACAGAGACCCATAGACTCACAGAGACCCGTAGACTCACACAGAGACCCATAGACTCACACAGAGACACAAAGACTCACACTGACACCCATAGACTCACACAGAGACCCATAGACTCACACAGAGACACAAAGACTCACACTGACACCCATAGACTCACACAGAGACCCGTAGACTCACAGAGAGACCTATACGGTAGTTTGTTGTCCTTCCGATCAGCACGGTTGGCTACGTACGCTGCGAAAGACGTTCAACATACAATACTCCTTGATGCCCACCCACGGGAACGGAGTTTCACGAAATCTCTCGTCGTGATCCACCAACCCTTGCCCCCCTCCACATGATCAGGTGTGGATCTTGGAAGTAAATGATTATCATATTGTCTGGCCACCTTTCTGCATAGCGGCTATGGGCGTCTCACAAATCTCCATCGATCGCCAATCCCTGTTTCAATAACCTGGGCCGCAGCTTTGCTTGTACTGAACCAACGCTCATTAAAATTGCGACCCTCTCGGTAGGCTGTGCGGCTAGCTGATGGGATGTGTCAAAAATAACGTCATCCTTTTCACGTGGAAGGACATGTACGCGAGTGAGGCGTATTGTCTGCTTATTTGTAATCTTGCCTCCGGTGCTGGATTACAGGCCCGGTTCACCAAGCCCCCTGCGTTGGTTTGTGCCCGTGTTCTATGTTGGGGAGCGGTGGCGCAGTGGTTGGTAGCCTGCTGCGCTACGAGCCCGGAGACACGAGTTCGGTTTCCGCTCACGGCCATCAACGCCAGTGCCGATTATCTGAACTAAACCGGTCCAAATTTTGATTGAAAGCTTTCGTGACTGCAGTAATTCATATTCTTAGCTCTTTCGGTAAAGTCACGTTGAAGGGAAACAATAAAATAATAAAACATATATAAAACAATCAAAATTCTCACGACGTTTCGACCATAACACAAACGACCGAAAGAGCTAAGAACATAAACCGGTCCAATGAGTATCTGTTTGTCGCAATCATCGCCGACGGGGAGACAAATGTGGCCGGGCGTGTTGCTGGCCACCCACCCACCGCCCATCATGTGCCGTGCCGGCCTTCATAGGTGCTACTCGCGAGCAGCGCTTGTTAAAGCTATACGGGGGGACCTTTACCCTGTCTTTGTCTATGTTGGAAGTTTGTCTTCTTCGGTTCTTTCGGTAAAGTCACGTAGAATGGCCGCTTGTGTTGTGGCCGAAACGTCGTGAGAATATTATTGTGTTATTTTATTTTATCAATTTATTATTGTATTCTCATTCTACATGGTGACTTTACCGAAAGAACCAAAGAAGATGAATCCTTGCAGTCACGAAAGCTTTAAATCGAAATTGGAAGTTTGTGCTTGGGTGCCGAGTTGGCCACGCGTCGGGAACGGCTGCGTTGGAACAGATGACGCTATCGCCGATTGCTGCGCTGACTTTCACGACTGCTCGGCCGAGACGATTTTGCACTTCCTGCACAAACACACACAAAAAAGCAAAGACAAACATCGCCCGTATAGCCTTAACAGACTGTTTGGGGCAAGTGCTGTTCGCGCGTAGCATCGATGAAGGTCGGCAAACGGCACACGAGGTGGTGGGTGACCGGCACGGCACCACGCCCAGGCACAAACACACGCACGGCTGCTGGTGGTCACACCGCACGTGACCTGTAAACCTCCAGCACTGTGGAGGCAGCAGCGACGGTTGGCTGATCAACCGCACGGATGTTGCGAAACTCCCTTCCCGTAGGCGTCGAGTGGCATGCCATGGGTCGCCAGGATAAGGCGGTAAAACAGCACGGAAAATAATGTGGACTAATGTCCACCCGTCCCTTCTGTATGGGATAGAGTGTTGCGCCCTCGCACGCGCGGGTCGACTCAGGGCGCTCCCAGTTTCCTCCGACGTGTACCAAACGCTGAAAGCATCTCAACACGCAGAGGACCACAGAGCTCGGCCGCAAGTCTGCGGGCCTGCGGCCTCGCGCGTCGCTTCTCACCCTTGGTGCTCTCGGCCACCGAGCCGCGGCCGCTGGGAGCCGCGGAACCCGTGGGGCCGGGGCTCCTGCCCGCGGGGGTGCCCCCGTGCGGAGATGAAGGCGACGGTGGCGGCAGCTCCAGTCCCAGCTGCACGGTCGTCACCGCAGCCCCCGGCGAAGCTCGCTGGGACCCAACGCCGCTGCTGGTGGCGGCGGCGCAGCGGCAGGGGGAATCGCAATCTTTAACTTAGACTGGAGGAGGAATCCAATGAGCTACGAAGAATCATTTTCACACGTCTCCAGCAGGGGCCACAGGGTCAGAACGTTACAACAACAAGCAATGCAAAAATACGACACGAGTCCACAGCGTAGGTAAGGTAAGTAACTCATTAAAAGTAAATAAAACGAAGCTTTTATTTTACCAGGTAAGGCCCGCTGAGCTATTAGCTTCAATTGGCAGAAGCGACCTGGCCACAAATGATAGCCCAACGAAGTGGCTTGTCACAGGGAAATGGCTGCGTACGGTGCGAAGGAAAAATACTCTAAACACGCGATGTTGGTTCTCAATGTGGAGGGAAAAACCGGAGGACCCGATGAAAAAAGAATCCACGGGACCATCGGGGAGAGAGACAGACAGACAGACACACGCAAACTCCAAATATACAGCAGCAGGCGTCAGGGTCAGGATGGTAACCCCGACCTCCTGCATACCAGGCGAGGGAGATAACATCTCCTAGCCACCGTGGCATGGAGAAGCAGGAGCCGGGGTGAAGAACGTTGGGAACAAACAGTCAGGCGTGCGAGCGTGCGGGCAAACGCAAGGACAGATTGGTGTTTGAACATCTCAACACCTCCTATTTTATTGTCAGATGGAGTAAAGGCGATTGTTGTTCTTTTTCTATCATTTTGATACTGGAGAAAAATGTCCCGTAGATAGATTCCCCCTGCTCCCCCCCACCCACAACCCTCTCTTCCCCCTTTTTCCGCCAGGTCAAAGGTCAAAGACGTAACTTTGACAGTTAATGAAGGTAAGTGGGCTCGGCACGGACAGGCAGGGGTTGAGATCACTCCGGCTGTGTCACCGTTTTGTTCGGCTCCCAAACCCTAACAACCCCCCTCATCGCACACACACACACTCATCACACACACACACTAATCACACACACACACACTCATCACACACACACATCACACACACTCATCACACACACACTCATCACACACACACACACTCATCACACACACACTCATCACACACACACACTCATCACACACACACACTCATCACACACACACACACTCATCACACACACACATCACACACACACACACACTCATCACACACACACATCACACACACTCATCACACACACACTCATCACACACACACACACTCATCACACACACACTCATCACACACACACACTCATCACACACACACACTCATCACACACACACACACTCATCACACACACACACACTCATCACACACACACTCATCACACACACACACATCACACACACACACTCATCACACACACTCATCACACACACACACTCATCACACACACACACTCATCACACACACACACACTCATCACACACACACTCATCACACACACACACTCATCACACACACACACACTCATCACACACACACACACACTCATCACACACACACACACTCATCACACACACACACACTCATCACACACACTCATCACACACACACACACTCATCACACACACACACACTCATCACACACACTCATCACACACACACACTCATCACACACACTCATCACACACACTCATCACACACACACACTCATTACACAAAGACAAAGATCCCCCATATCGCCTCGGCAGACTGTTGGGGCATGTGCCGTTAGCGAGTAGCACCTATGAAGGCCGGCACGGCACACGAGGGGGTGGGTGGCCAACACCACGCCCGGCCGCCTTTGTCTCCCTCGTGTTTACATAGTGCACCAGGTACGCATTTGAGGCTGAGTCAATCTAAGGGAGACCCGGGACCGGTTCAAATAATCGTCACTGGTGGTGGCCGTGAGCGGGAATCGAACCTGGGTTGCCAGGTTCGTAGCGCAGCGCGCTAACCGCTACACCCACCCGCCCCCTCATTGTACCCTGCCGGCCTTCATAGGTGCTCCTCGCGAACAGCACTTGCCCCAACGGCCTGTTAAAGCTATACGGGGGGAATAATCTACGTCACATATATATATCAAATGATACGTAGGAATTGCGGACATTACGGTACCGGACTGATGATGCAGAGGATCTTGCAGAAGAAAGGCGTGAGCTCTGTCTGCTGCTGGAAGACGACGATGACGTGGAAGACGATGGTGATGGCAGAGTGATCCCAGCCTGCGTTCCCACGAAAACACACAAACAAACAGAAGACACCGCAGGCCGTTAAATCGACGGCCCAGGGTTTTGCTCACGAGTACCGCTGTGTCGGTATGGGCGTTAAATACAACAATCATTGTTTTGCCGACAGCCTGGTCAATAGTGCCCCGTGGATCTAAGCGTAAAAACATACGGGCCAAAGTCAGTCACGTGACGTCGTGGAAAAGGCGCGGTCGGAATCGTCGCAAGTTATAAGGGGGGGGGGGGCGTCTGTGGAAATGTTGGAACATCTGCAAACCTGTCAACGCCTTATCGGTGCCCTACTTTACTACAGACCAACTCAGACCGTATTGGTCACCCCGTGCTCTTACAAATCTCAACGTTCATCCAACAAAAGTCCCATCACGAGGGAGAAACACAAACAAATAGACACTTTTTTTCTTGCCCGTACTGAAACGGCTGTACGCCGCATGGAACTGAAAACTCAATTCTCCTGCACAAAAATACGGGTGAACCATATGGGTTGACAGGTATGCATCTGCGGAAAAGAGCTTCACAGCTCATCGGATTTTTTCCCCTGCAGGATAAATAAAAATAACGTTTCTGAGCATCAAGAAGTTTACTTCCCCATCGAAGTAAAGGCCGCAGAGCGAAGACGCTCTTTATCAAGAGGGGGCGGCTCGGCCGGCAGACAACATCACAAAACATTCCACAATTGCAGATTTCGAAGGACAGATTTAATACAAAAAAAATGTTTTACAATTACGTTGTTAAAGGACATTAACACTTTAACGTTTAGTGATGACAGAATGGAGATGCTAAGAGATGAAAAATTTGGCCGTTGCCATGGCCCAGATGTGGTAAATTACTCGCGAAGTTAATTAATTTGGAAATGTACGTACGTACATTGAACTTCTTTTGCACCATACGTAGCCAACTGTGCAAATCAGAGGTGCAGAGGAAGGATATGGGTCTCGGTGTGAGTCTATGGGTCTCTGTGAGTCTGGATCTCTGTGTGAGTCTATGGGTCTCTGTGTCAGTCTATGGGTCTCTGTGTGAATCTATGGGTCTCTGTGTGGGTCAATGGGTCTCTGTGTGAATCTATGGGTCTCTGTGTGAGTCTATGTGTCTCTGTGTGAGTCTATGGGTCTCTGTGGGAGTCTATAAGTCTCTGTGTGAGTCTATGGGCCTCTGTGGGAGTCTATGGGTCTCTGTATGAGTATATGGGTCTCTGTGTGAGTCTATGGGTCTCTGTGTGAGTCTATGGGTCTCTGTGTGAGTCTATGGGTCTCTGTGTGAGTCTATGGGTCTCTGTGTGAGTCTATGGGTCTCTGCGTGGGTCTATGTGTCTCTGTGTGGGTCTATGGGTCTCTGTGTGAGTCTATGGGTCTCTGTGTGGGTCTATGTGTCTCTGTGTGGGTCTATGGGTCTCTGTGTGAGTCTATGGGTCTCTGTATGAGTATATGAGTCTCTGTGTGGGTCTATGGGTCTCTGTGTGAGTCTACGGGTCTCTGTGTGAGTCTATGGGTCTCTGTGTGAGTCTATGGGTCTCTGTGTGAGTCTATGGGTCTCTGCGTGAGTCTATGTGTCTCTGTGTGGGTCTATGGGTCTCTGCGTGAGTCTATGTGTCTCTGTGTGGGTCTATGTATGCATGGATGCTGAACTTCCTTCGCACCGTACGCAGCCAACCGTGCTAATCGGAGCTGCGGGGTGGGTAAGGGCAACAAACTAATCACGCACGCACACACAAAAAAACAACTCTGACGCTCGTGGACGAGGATGTGCAGCGGCGCTACCTGCTGGAAGAACACGTGCACGTCTCCCGCCACCTCCGGGCTCTGGCCCAGGATGTCGGACAGCAGGCGCGTCACGGCGCGTCCAAAGTCGCGGAGCTCGCGCAGGGCCACGTCCCTCTCGGCCGGCGTCGCCTCGCGGCTCTTGGCGGCCGCGCGCAACTCGCGGGACAGCCTGGAGCACTGCGGGCCGGCGCGGAGAGAGACGGGGGGTGGGGGGTGGGGGGTGGGGGGTGGGGGGAGCGGTGAAGAGCACGCGACCGCGCAGCGAAGGCCTCAGGGGCGGCGGCAGCGTCGTCATCAGTCTCGGCAGTCGCGTCATCATCGTGATCGGTAGCGTCATCATCAGAGTCGTTATCAGTCTCAGCAGTAGCGTCATCATCAGCGTTGTCATCAGTCTCAGCAGTCGAAGCATCATCAGGGTATCAGTAGCGTCATCATCAGGGTCCTCAGTAGCATCATCATCAGGGTCGTCATCAGTTTCAGCAGTAGTATCATTAGCAGTCTCAGCAGTAGCATCGTCATGTTCAGCACTAGCATCATCATCAGGGTTATCATCAGTCTCATTAGTAGCATCATTATGAGTCTCAGCAGTAGCTTCAGCATCAGTCTCAGCAGTATCATCAGCTACAGTCTCAGCAGTAGCATCAGCATCAGTCTCAGCAGTAGCATCAGCTACAGTCTCAGCAGTAGCATCAGCATCAGTCTCAGCAGTAGCATCAGCATCAGTCTCAGCAGTAGCATCAGCTACAGTCTCAGCAGTAGCATCAGCATCAGTCTCAGCAGTAGCATCAGCTACAGTCTCAGCAGTAGCATCAGCATCATCTAGGTAATCAGTAGCATCATCATCAGGGTCATCATCAGCCTCAGCAGTAGCATCATTATCAGTCTCAGCAGTAGCATCAACTACAGTCTCAGCAGTAGCATCAGCATCAGCCTCAGCAGTCGCAACATCATCAGGGTCAGCATCAGTCTCGCACCAAGTACTCATTTTAAACTAGGGGAAGCCGAGGAATGGTTCAGATAATTTCACTCGTCTTGACCGTGAGCGGGAATTGAATTCTGGTCGCCAGGGTCAAAGTGCAGCATGCTAACCACACTCAGGTATAAGAAGATAAAGATCCCTCGTATAGCCTTAACAGACTGTTGGGACAAGTGCTGTTAGCGAGCAGCACCTATGAAGGCCGCTATGCCACACGAGGGGGTGGGTGCCCAGCACCACGCCTTTTCGCCTTTGTCTCCCCAGTTGCGATGTTTTTACACATCGCACCAGGGACGCATTTGAGGCTGAGTCGATCTAAGGAAGGCCCAGGACCGATTCAGATAATCATCACTGGTATTGGCCATGAGCGGGAATCGAACTCGGATCGCCGGGTTCGTAGCGCAGCGTGCTAACCGCGACAGCACCATTAACACCACCACGAACACCAACAACACCACAATCACCACCACTACCACCACCACGCACTGCTGAGTTCAGTCAGAGCTGACCTAACGGTCCAAAACACATGAACCGTCCACCGGCGGAGGGCACGACGGATCCCCATGGCTAGGAATCGAACAGGGGATGGCCCGGCTCACCTGTTTTTTTCCCCGCTCGATCTTCTCCTGCTGCTCTCTGATCTCCTTCTTCAGCTGCTGCACGCTGTCGCTGTGCCCCTTCAGGTCCCCCTCCTGCACGTCCCCTTCACTCAGCAGCTCATCCATGCTCTCATTCATCACCTGCGCGACAGGAAGTACGTATGTGTGCATGTACGTTGAACTTCCTACGCACCGCACGTAGTCAACCGTGCTAATTGGAGGTGCGGGGGGAAGGACAACAAGCTAAACTCAAAAAAGCAGTTGTGAATAAATGAGTTTGTCAATCTAGACCAGGGGTGGGGAACTTTTTTCTGTCAAGGGCCATTTGGATATTTTTAAAACATCATTAGCGGGCCATACAAAATTATCAACTGAAAAATTTGCCCGTTATATTTGGTCAAACATTTAATTAACTCGCCCCTAATGCGATGGCTGGAACCTGCTTCTCTTTGGCGAGGCGTGTGATGATGTTAGCTGGTATTGACGATGTTGTTGCTACTCGCAACTGCTTTTCCAGGTTTGCTCCTAGATTTATTGAATTTCGAGTCCCGCCTGCGGTTGCCTTGGCAGGGCCAGAGACCAAATTATTTTGCGGGCCTCGTACGGCCCGCGGGGCCGGACGTTCCCCACCCCTGATCTAGGTGATGATTTAAAGGTGCATATCTCCCAGTGGCTTCCTAATATCGGAAGCAAGAGCGTTCCAGACGGCCGTAGAAGCGCATCTGGCACCCAAGTTAGCGGTGTGGAAAGAACCACGGCCTAGCTGCCTTTGTCTCCCTCCATTGTGTTGATGTGTTACACACTCCAGCAGGTACTCATTTAAAGGCCCTATCAACTAGGACCGGCGGCTTAGAAATCAGGGAATGAATTAATTCGTCATGCCGGCTGAATGGATTCAGTTCATCACCAACATCGTCATCATTTAATCAATTAATATTGATTACTAGGCTCACGCTTCGTTCAATTCGTGCATTTAGGAATCGATTGTGTGCAATTATTGCAAATCACATGAGAATTATGTGCGAAATGTCACTGTTACGCGACAAACAGAAGTGAAAAGCTAGGGAAAAATGGGAACAGATAAAAGCAAATACAAATTAAATGGAGACAAACTACAATTAATTATTCAATGAAACCACTGCATCACTGACGGGAAGAATAATTACACATCAAATCATTATCATCATCAAAACTAAACTCTTTTCTTTTTATATTACCAGGTAAGGCCCACTGAGCTGTACAGCTCTCTTTCAGAAGCGACCTGGCCATCACAAATGATAGCTCAACGAAGTGGCTTATCATCACGTGGACATTTAAAGCAGCAGCCAGATACTCTAAACGCTTGATGTCGATTCTGAATGTGGAGGGAAAAACCGGAGGACCCTGAGCAAAAATCCACGCGACCACGGGCAGGACACGCAAACTCCAAATACACAACAGGCGTCAGGATCGGGATCGAACCCACGACCTCCTGTATACCAGGCGTAGCTAACATCTCCTAGCCACCGTGGTGCCCTTGATGATGACGATGATGATGATCAAGATCATCATCCTCAACGGCATGTCTCTGAGGTCGGATAAAAAATAAGGATCACCATTTCGTCGGCCCCCTTTCGAATTTCCAACCTCAGGACCTCACCGTGGTGTAGGATGCCCCCTTCTCACCCGCTGGCGCATGCGAGCCGAACCAGCGCTCGGCTGAACCTAGCGGTCGGCTGCCCCCTACAAGCCGTGATGGCGCAATCAAAACGGAATGCGACCCAATCACCGATGGTGCAGGTATTAAGACGATCAAAGAGGAAAAAAATAGGGGGGCGATTCACACGACCGAACTCATTTCGTGAGAACTGCTTTTTGTGCTCAGTTTGCTGCCCTTCACCCGCACCTCCGATTAGCTCGGTCGGCAGCGTACGGCGCGAAAGAAGTTCAACCCGCACACGTACGATGGGATCGATCGATCGCGTGGATCTCTCCTGCCGGTGAATCTCGACACGGCGGCGATTTAACCCGCGATGAATCGATGGTTCTCACGCGGCTGCCGGATCAACCGTGAGCTGAATCGATACAACAGACACCTCGATTCGGGTTACACAAGGCCATACGTGGGCAGAGACATGCCCCTACGGGCAACGCCCATGTCCCCCTTTCCTCCATACACGGGCTGATCTGTGCAGGAAGACAAAGATCGTTACAACGAAACGGCGTTACACACGACGTGTCTGTGTACATTTGTGCGCGTGTAGATGTACGTACAGTATATGCTTGCATATGTATTTGTGTAATGTTGCGTATATGCACGTGTGCGCGTTCGTGCGTGTGCGTGCGTGCGTGCGTCCGATCTCATCGTATCGCCGCGCCCCTTAACCTGCAGGTCCTGCTGGAGCTCACGGACTTGGCGCCTCTTGAACTTGAGCTTCTCCTCCAGCGATCGTTTCTGCTCCTCGAGACGCAGCCTCTCCTCGTGCTCGGCGCCTGCGTGAGCACGCGGTACGCACGGCGGGGGAAGTGGGGGGGGAGAGACTCCTCGGTGCTGTGCCTACAGCAGTCGTCCCGTGGTGCCGTGCAGGCTGTGCCTGCAGCGCCGCAACTTTGCTCGCCGATTAAAACTCGTCCTGACGCTCGCCGCGCGAGCACCATGAACCGTTTTGCTTTAGCTTGTGCCGTGCGTACCGCCGTGCGTGTACCGTGCTGTATGCACCACCGTGTCACGTGCTAACGTTGCGTGCACCGTTCCCTACGCACCGCCCTGCGTGTGTACCACCGTGTACGCACCGCCCTGCGTGTGTACCACTGTGTACGCACCGCCCTGCGTGTGTACCACTGTGTACGCACCGCTGCGTGTGTACCACCGTGTACGCACCGCTGCGTGTGTACCACCGTGTACGCACCGCCCTGCGTGTGTACCACCGTGTACGCACCGCCCTGCGTGTGTACCACTGTGTACGCACCGCCCTGCGTGTGTACCACTGTGTACGCACCGCCCTGCGTGTGTACCACCGTGTACGCACCGCCCTGCGTGTGTACCACCGTGTACGCACCGCCCTGTGTGTGTACCACTGTGTACGCACCGCCCTGCGTGTGTACCACCATGTACGCACTGCCCTGCGTGTGTACCACCGTGTACGCACCGCCCTGCGGGACCTTGCTGTGCGATCTGCGCAGCGCCGCGTTGCGCCCGTTCACCACCTGCACCGTGTTCTCCATCGCACGGATCTCCTTCTCGGCGCGGCGGATTCTGGCATCGAGCTCGTCTCCCTCCTTCTGCATCTCCTCCTTCTCCTGGGCGGCCTGGGCACCCGAAACAACGGCCGTGTCAACGACACCGCGGCCGTGCACCCCTCCCTTCCCCTCCCCCCCTCTCCACGAGCAGGGGTCCGGACTGCAGCGGGGCTCTTGAAATAAACTACAAAAAATGTCTCTTCTTGTTATTTCGATTGCCAACCTCTGACCAAGAAGTTCAACATACATACCTGTGTGTGTGTGTGTGCGTGGGTGTACGTTCAACCTCTTTCGCACCGTACACAGCCAACCGTGCTAATCGGAGGCGCGGGACACACGCGCGTGCCTGCCAACCCTCACGCACACGGGCCCGGTACTCACCTTGATCACGTAGTAAGCCTGCGATTTATCCTCCTCACCCTCCGGAGGGGCCATGGCGACCGTCAAGATCTCGTATCTCTTGCGCATCCTGTCCACCTTCGAGAGCCTCTCGTGGAGCTCAGCGCTGGAAACGATCGCGACACAACAACAACAACAACGCAACAACATCAGGCGGACGACGCAAGGCACTTTAGGCTGCTGCGACGTTGGGGAATGGCAACCGATAAACAACAAAAATAAAACCTAACACCTCATTCTATTCTTGTGCATGATGATGGCAGCAGCAATGCGGTTCAGGAGTGCCACAGTGGTGAGATGTTAACGTCCTCGCCTGGTATGCAAGAGGCCGTGGGTTCGATCCCAACCCTGAAGCCTGCTGTATATTTTAAGTTTGCGAGTCTCTCTCCTCGTGGTCGTGTGGATTTTTCTCAGGGTCCTCCGGTTTTCCCGTTCCACATTTATAAATGTGTGTGTCAGTGTATTTGGCTGCTTTAAATTTCCACGTGATGGTAAGCCACTTCGTTGAGCTATTATTCGTGGCCAGGTCACTTTTGAAAAAGAGCTACATAGCTCAGGGGGCTTTACTGGGTAAAATACAAATAGTTTAGTTTAAAGCTCGATGCTCCAATGTGGAGGTCTTGCTGCTGCTGCTGCTGCTGGCTACGATGAGAGGGCTTCAGCAGAGAGAGAGTTCGTGCCACTGTTCCTCCTCCTCCGTTGAAGAAGCACGCAGACAGCAGTTGTTTACGATATGGTCCATTGGCTCACATTGTCCATAGACTAACATCGCCCATAGATTAACATCGCCCTTAGACTTACGTCACCCATAGACTTACATCACCCATAGACCAACATTGTCCATAGATTTACATCGCCCATAGACTAACATCGCCCATAGACTTACATCACCATAGAGTAACATTGCCCTTAGACTTACATCGCACCATAGACTTACATCGCCCATAGACTAACATCGCCCATAGACTTACATCACCATAGACTAACATTGTCCATAGACTAACATTACCCATAGACTAACATTGCCCATAGACTAACATCACCCATAGACTAACATTGCTCATAAACTAATATTGTCCAGAGACTTATATTGCCCATTGACTTACATTGCTCATAGATTTATATTGCCCACAGACTTCAATTCCCAGACTAACTAATATCGCTCAAGACTACTATTGACCAAGCAGAGAGATTACACCAAAGACAGGGCAAACACAATATTAAAATAAATATTATCCTTGCGCTCCCAGCATGGCATGGATACCAAATGTGATCAATTATAACGCTTCAATGTATTGCAAGGGCCAAGGGAAACGTTCAAGGCCCAACGCAGATTTGCGTGAGTGACCTTGCCGACGCTGTGCTATTTCGTTCCTATTCAAGTGTGGTGCAGTGCACTTGAAACATTCAAGGCGTTAATCTTTGCAAGGAAAAACACTTTCTGGCTTTCTGTTATTATCACATCTCCGGCTGTGTGAATGCGTCTTTGTGCACGTCTGTCACTTACTCTCTGTGTGCGCTTGTACGCGCGTATCTAAATGTGCACATTTTTCTGCGCGTGTGTCTTTGTTTATGCACGTCTGTCTGTATGTGCGCGCGTGCGCGCAGGGGAGTTTGTGGGGAGCGGCGGCATAGCGGTGAGCGCTACGCTTGCGCTACGAACCCGGTGACCGAGTTCGATTCCCGCTCACGGCCAACACCGGTGACGTTTATCTGAACCGGCCCTGGAGCCTCCCCTAGGTCGACTCAGCCTCAAATGAGTACCCTTGTGCGGTGTGCAAACATCGACGCTGCGGAGACAAAGGCGGCCGGGGCGTGGTTGCCAGCCAGCCACCCCCCCTCTCGTGTGCCGTGCCGGCCTTCATAGGCGCCTGCTTCGCTAACAGCACTTGCCCCGACAAGTCGCGCCTTTTGCACGCGCTGCCGGTGCCCCCGCCCCCACCTGAGCGCCTGCCTCTCCTGCTGCAGGCCGCGCTCCAGGGTCAGCAGCTCGTGCTTGCGAGCGTCGTTCTCCAGGGAGCGCTCCTTGAGCGCTGTCTGCAGCGCCTGCTGCCGCTTCTCCAGCGAGAGGACGCCGTCGGCGCTGGCGGCCACCAGCCCTCGCACGCGCCGGCACTCCAGCTTCAGCAGGCTCTCCTCCACCAGCAGCTCCTACAGAGACAAAGATGCCCCCACGGCCCCGTGGCCCCTAACAGACTCAGTATAACATCAATGAATATCCCTCATCGGAATGTGTGCTAATGCCGGAGGAATCCGATGGGCGATGAGGCTCCTTTACTCGCAGATGTCCGGGTAGGGGCACGGGGTGAGAATGTTACAACAATGCAAAGTAAAGGAAAGGTAAGCAAATCACTTAAAAAATTATACGAATAATTGTTTTTTTGTATCTTACTCGGTGATGCCCACTGAGCTGTTCGATTATTTCAGAAGCGACCTGGCCACAAATGATAGCCCAACGAAGTAGCCGATCACGTGGAAAGATATTCCAAGCCGAACACTGCAAATTCCTGTTGGTTCTAAATGTGGAGCGAACAACCGGAGGACCCAGATAAAAAAATCCACGTGACCACGGGGGGAGAGAGACACACGCAAACTCCAAATATACAGCAGGCGTCAGGGTCACGATCGAAACCCTGACCTCCTGCATACCGGGCGAGGGAGATAACATCATGCCACCGCGGCATGGAGAACACAGCAGCTTACCGTGTGGGGGAAAGTGCTGTGAGCGAGCACGTACACACAAAGCACACACGCACGTACATGCATACTCATCTACACATCCACATGCACGCATCCACACACAGGCAGGCACTCTACATGTCTGAGTGTATAACTGTATACACAGGCAAACCTCGCTTAGCGCTCAAGATACGTTCCTGGAGAAGTGAGTGGCGCTAATCGAATCGGAGCTAAAGAGGGGTCGTTGATACCATTATATATATGGGGATGCGTTCCCGACAGCGTAATATCTTTCGTATGAGCAATGTTTGAGGGCTGTGCCGGCCTTCATAGGTGTTACTTGCTAACAGCACTTGCCCCAACGGTCTGCTCAAGCTTATAAGGGGGATCTTTGTCTTTGTGGAATCAAACCTGCTTGGCGTTCGTGATTTTCTTCATTTCCTTCTCGGCTGAATTGTTTTCCAGGTCCAGCTGCTCTATCTTGCTCGTGAGTTCCGCCTTTTCAGCAGACGAGTGTTCCAGGTCTCTCCGAGTGTGCCTTATGTCATCCTACGCACGCACGCACACACACGCAAAGATCCCCTGTGTGGCCTCCGATTAGCACGGTTGGCTATGTAAGGCCGCAAAAGAAGTTCAACATACATACACATGTGATCTGGAATCTCAAGAGGCACCGTGGTGGTGGATCACACGGAGATAGATAAATCAAGTGTGGGAGAGGATAAGTCTTCTCTCTCACTCTCCCTTAGAAGGTTCTAAATGGAAATGGCAGGGTTGGTACACTAAGTCAGCACCGCTAGAAGACTGGCTTTCTAGCCTTGGGTCTAGTGCCGTCACTGTGGCGAGATGTTAACTCTCTCGCCCGGTACGCAGGAGGTCGTGGATTCGATCCTGACCCTGACGCATGTTGTATACTTTGCGTGTTTCAATCTCCCCGCGGTCGCGTGGATTTTTCTCCGGGCCCTCCGGTTTTGCCCTCCACACTTGGATTCAACGTCACGCGTTTAAAGTATGTAGGGCGGCTCTTGGGTGACGATGACGACGACCTCAGAGGCGTCCGGTTCACCTGCACCCTGCGGAGCTGTGCGGTCAGCAGGGCGTGCGTGTCGTTCCTCTCGCTCAGCTGGGCCTTGAGCTTCGCGACCTGAGCCTCCAGCTGCTCCTTCTCCTCGTTGGAGATGTCCCCCTGCAGCTGGGCAAGGCGGCGCTCCAGCTGCGCCAGCTGGAAGTCCTGCAGAACCCGGACGGCGCAAACACGGCGATGCGCGCACGCTGGGATGATTGTGTGAAATTGATTGCGTTTTTTATTTTTTTGGACACTTGTACCCGATTGGTCGAAATTAGTTGTAACATTCTGGCACTTGTACCCGATTGTTTGGACACTTGCACCCGATTGGTCGAAATTAGTTGTAACATTCTGGCACTTGTACCCGATGTTTGGACACTTGTACATGATTGGTCTAAATTAGTTGTAACATTCTGGCACTTGTACCCGATGTTTAGATACTTGCACCCGATTGGTCAAAATTGGTTGTAACATTCTGGCACTTGTAGCCGAAGTTTAGACACTTGTACCCGATTGGTCAAAATTAGTTGTAACATTCTGGTACTTGTACCCGATGTTTGGACACTTGCACCCGATTGGTCTAAATTGGTTGTAACATTCTGGCACTTGTACCCGATGTTTAGACACTTGTACCCGATTGGTCGAAATTAGTTAATATTCTGGTACTTGTACCCGATGTTTAGACACTTGCACCCAATTGGTCTAAATTGGTTGTAACAATCTGGTACTTGTACCCGATGTTTGAACTCCTCGACCCGATTGGTCTAAATTGGTTGTAACATTCTGGCACTTGTACTCGATGTTTAGACACTTGCACCCGATTGGTCAAAATTGGTTGTAACATTCTGGCACCTTTGATTTAAAGCTTTCGTGACTGCAGTAATTCATATTCTTAGTTTTTTCGGTAAAGTCACGTTGAAGAGAAACAACAAAATAACAAAATATATATAAAACAATAAAAATTCTCACGACGTTTCGACCATAACTCAAACGGTCATCATCAGGTGTGTCGGTTTGCATAAATTTATTTTGAAAACGGCGCATTTATTTATTTATAAAAAAAAACGTTGGCGTCACGCGCAGCGATTGGCTGTTTGCCAGGACTAGTCCATCTATTTTTTGAAAAGAGGAGGGGGGAGACCCGATTGGTCGAAATTAGTTGGAACATTCTGGAAACTTGTACCCGATTTTTGGACACTTGCACCCGAGTGGTCTAAATTGGTCGTAGCTTTCTGGAACTCCCTCATCATCCCTCCTGTGAAGGTTTCCTAGCTTGTGTGAGACGTTGTACGTGTGAATGTTGAAATTCTTTCGCACCATACGCAGTCAACCGTGCTGATCGGAGGGTGCGAACTGTGGTCTGGGATGTTAAAACTTCATGGGCTAACTTCTCCGCTGTGATGACTTGTTTCGTGGTTTTCTTTTGGTGCTATTTCATATATATATTTTTACGAGGTCCCCCCTTGTGTGTCCCCTACATCTCGCCTGTGTCCCCACGTGTCCCCCGTGCCTCCTCCTTTCTCTCCGTGTCTCCCGGTGTCTCGCCTGTGCGCGAACACAGCGACGCGTGCATGCTGGCACGATCGCGTCAGATTGAATACATCTTGACCCGATTGGTCTACATTAGTCGTAACCTTCTGGCACTCCCTCATCGTGAGAAGTTGTATGTGCCTGTGCATATGTGTTGAACTTCTTTCGCACCGTACGTAGCCAACCGTGCTTATCGGAGGTGCGGACTGTATTCTGTGATGTCGGGACTTAATGGACTAACTTCTCTGTTGTGATGAACTTGTTTTGTTGGTGTTGTTTGTGCTTCTTTTGTTTTGGGGCTATTTATTGATTTGTTAATGATTTTTTATTTATTTTCTGAGGTTTTCCTGTGCATCGCTTGCGTCCCCCGTGCCTCCTCGTTTCTCTCCGTGTCTCCTCGTTTCTCTCCGTGTCTCTTGGTGTCCTGCTTATGCCGCTGTATGTCCCTTGCGTCTCTCCCATTTCCCCACATCGCACCCGTATCTCCCCGTCTCACCAGTTTCTGGGCACCTCCCCGCGTGTCTCCATGCATGTCTTTCTACATCTCCCCGCGTGTCCCCACATCTCACCTGTATTCCCGCGTCTCACTTGTGTCCCCGTGTCTCACCAATGTCTGGGCACCTGCCCGCATGTCTCCAGGCGTGCATCTCTGCGTCTCCCCGTACGTAGCCACGTCTCCCTGCGTCTCCCCACATCTCCCCGTGTCTCCCCACATGTCCCTGCGTCTCACCGGTGTCTGGACACCTCCCTGCCATTCTCCCCACATCTCCCCGTGTGTCCCCGGGTCTCCCCGCGTGTCTCTCCGCGTGCGTCTCCGCGTCTCCCCGCGTCTCTCCAGGCGTGTGTCCCCGCGTGTCGTCCCACCTGGCTGTAGATGATGTTGCTCTGCTTGATGGCGTCCGCGTCGAGGCGCTGGAGTCTGCTTCTGAGGCCGGCGATCGAGGCCCTCACCCCGGCCATCGCCACCTCGGCCTGCCGCTCGCGCACCCTGCCCTCCTGCAGCTGCTGCTCCCGTGCAAACTTCTGGTTCTTCACCTGCGCCAGAGTCTGCTCCAGCTCCTACGCAGAGATGAGGAGGACGTGAGGGGGGGGGGGGAAAGGACTTGAGGTGGCAGGAAAGGAGAGTGAGAAGAGCTGGAGGGAAGGGTCGTGTTGTTGGTCGCTGTATCGGTGAAATTGACAAAGGCTGAGAAGCAGGGCATTGGGTGCAATGTAGGGCAAACAAGACCGGCACCATCACGGGATTCATTACGTTCACACAGCGGCACACAGGATGCACTAGCGTGGTGCTGGCCAACCAACCCCCTCGTGCGCCGTGCCGGTCTTCAAAGGTGCTCGTGAACAGCACTTGCGCTAAAAGTCTGTTCAAGGGTATAGGGGAGATCTTCATCTTTGTCTGTGTACGTATGGAGGGGGATCGTTTAGGACGCTACTGGGCCACTGACAGCAGGTGCCCTCCCAACAACAACTGGGGGAAGAGGAGCGACGCTGACAACAACGAGCGGGGCCCCGGGCGGCACTTGGTGGCGCATCTCAATCTGTCAACCATATCACCTTGGCGTGTGCCGTGGTGATCTCCTGCACCTAGCCTGGCACATCAGTCAACCCGTAACACTTGGGTCTGTCCAGTGACGTCCTGCGCGCAAGCAGCCTTCGACACCTCAAGTGGCCTAAAGGTCCATTTAGCCTGGCACAAGTGCCGTGGTGACATCACTGACACTTGGTGGTGAACGGCGACTGTTGTTGTTTTATTTGTATAATATTTGAATTTGTATTGTGCGCTCTCGTATATGTATGCATGTATACGTGTACATTTACATGTGTGTGTGTGTATCTGCATATATTTGTACATGCGTGGTGTATTCATTTATATTTGTGTATATGTGTATTTGTGTACATCTGCACGTGTGCATGTCCGTGTGTATCTGTGTACACGTGTCCGCGGGTGTGTGCGTCCGTGTACGTCTGCGCGACGTGTTTCCGCGATACCTTGATGCGCTGCTGCTCCTGAGCGAACATCTCGTCCATGCGCAGCGCCCGCTCCTCCGCGCTCAGCGCCGTCTCCTGGCTCGACTTGAGTCTCTCACGCAGCGACTCCCGCTCGCCCTCCAGCGCACGCAGCCTGTGCCGGCACACGGCACAGCACACCCCATGCAGCGCACGGCATGCGCGCAGCCCAGCGCAGCCCAGTGTTTTCGGGGCAGTAGCCCCCCCCCCTGTCACCTCCCACCCCATCCCGACTCCTGCTGTCCCAAGCCCTGAACTACAGGACTCGGTACAGCAGCACCCCCTGTCCCGACTCCTAGTCCTGAACTACAGGACTCGGCACAGCAGCACCCCCTGTCCCGACTCCTAGTCCTGAACTACAGGACTCGGCACAGCAGCACCCTGTCCCGACTCCTAGCCCTGAACTACAGGACTCGGCACAGCAGCACCCCCTGTCCCGACTCCTAGTCCTGAACTACAGGACTCGGCACAGCAGCACCCCCTGTCCCGACTCCTAGTCCTGAACTACAGGACTCGGCACAGCAGCACCCTGTCCCGACTCCTAGCCCTGAACTACAGGACTTGGCACAGCAGCACCCTGTCCCGACTCCTAGTCCTGAACTACAGGACTTGGCACAGCAGCACCCCCTGTCCCGACTCCTAGTCCTGAACTACAGGACTCGGCACAGCAGCACCCTGTCCCGACTCCTAGCCCTGAACTACAGGACTTGGCACAGCAGCACCCTGTCCCGACTCCTAGTCCTGAACTACAGGACTCGGCACAGCAGCACCCCCTGTCCCGACTCCTAGTCCTGAACTACAGGACTCGGCACAGCAGCACCCTGTCCCGACTCCTAGCCCTGAACTACAGGACTTGGCACAGCAGCACCCTGTCCCGACTCCTAGCCCTGAACTACAGGACTTGGCACAGCAGCACCCCCTGTCCCGACTCCTCGCCCTGAACTACAGGACTCGGTACAGCAGCACCCTGTCCCGACTCCTAGTCCTGAACTACAGGACTCGGCACAGCAGCACCCCCTGTCCCGACTCCTAGCCCTGAACTACAGGACTCGGTACAGCAGCACCCTGTCCCGACTCCTAGCCCTGAACTACAGGACTCGGCACAGCAGCACCCCCTGTCCCGACTCCTAGCCCTGAACTACAGGACTCGGCACAGCAGCACCCCCTGTCCCGACTCCTAGCCCTGAACTACAGGACTCGGTACAGCAGCACCCTGTCCCGACTCCTCGCCCTGAACTACAGGACTCGGCACAGCAGCACCCCCTGTCCCGACTCTTGCTGTCCCAAGCCCTGAACTACAGGACTCGGCATAGCAGCACTCTGTCCCGACTCCTAGCACTGAACTACAGGACTCGGTACAGCAGCACCCCCTGTCCCGACTCCTAGCCCTGAACTACAGGACTCGGCATAGCAGCACTCTGTCCCGACTCCTAGCACTGAACTACAGGACTCGGCACAGCAGCACCCCCTGTCCCGACTCCTAGTCCTGAACTACAGGACTCGGTACAGCAGCACCCTGTCCCGACTCCTAGCCCTGAACTACAGGACTCGGCACAGCAGCACCCCCTGTCCCGACTCCTAGCCCTGAACTACAGGACTCGGCACAGCAGCACCCCCTGTCCCGACTCCTAGTCCTGAACTACAGGACTCGGCACAGCAGCACCCCCTGTCCCGACTCTTGCTGTCCCAAGCCCTGAACTACAGGACTCGGCATAGCAGCACTCTGTCCCGACTCCTAGCACTGAACTACAGGACTCAGTACAGCAGCACCCCCTGTCCCGACTCTTAGCCCTGAACTACAGGACTCGGCATAGCAGCACTCTGTCCCGACTCCTAGCACTGAACTACAGGACTTGGCACAGCAGCACCCTGTCCCGACTCCTAGCCCTGAACTACAGGACTCGGCATAGCAGCACTCTGTCCCGACTCCTAGCCCTGAACTACAGGACTTGGCACAGCAGCACCCTGTCCCGACTCCTAGCCCTGAACTACAGGACTTGGCACAGCAGCACCCCCTGTCCCGACTCCTGCTGTCCCAAGCCCTGAACTACAGGACTCGGCATAGCAGCCGCCCCTCCCCCCCCCCCCCCCCCCCCCCGTGTCGCCCACCCATCCCTCCCCCATCCTAACACCTGTTGCCGTCACGGAATCAGAATCTTTGCCCGAGAGTGCAGGGAACCCTTCCCCACCTCTCGCTCCGTGACCAATAACGAGACGGGGCCCAAAGTCGCGGCCACGGCATTGGGGGTCGTCGCCCCCCACCCCCAGCCCCCCCCCCCCCGGCGTTGTAGCTGTTGCTGCCGAGTCACCGGATCCACCGCTCGTTCGTGCATTGTGCGTCCGGTAAAAGGAGAGAGGCGGAGGCTCTAGACTACATTCCTCTAGAGGGTCTCCTGTAGGGGAGCTCCTCTACAGGAGGCCCTCTAGAGCAATGCTCTTCACTAAATTTTCGGCGGGGCACTTTCGCCGATGAGACATCATTGGTGCGAGGGGGCCACCACGCATTTGAAACCATCGGGATCGACAGCACGATGACGGTGGGGAGCGTTTTCGCATTCGTGTATTGTCGGGGGCCGCACACCAGGGGCCACGCCAAAGGCCACCAGGGGCCACGCCAAAGGCCACCAGGAGCCGCGCCAGTGACCCGCGGGCCTTGCAATGAAGAAAATCCGTGTAGATCAGGGGCTGGGACAAATTGTTTCGACTCGCGGGCCACAATGGGTTCTAGAATTTGACAGAGGGGCCGGGCCGGGAACAGATGGACGGAGTGTTTGTGTGAACTAATATAAATGACGTGTTAAAAATCATTACATGAAAGGATTTTTTCCTTTAGCGGGTAGCAAAGCATTTATTTGCAAGGCAATTGAACAAATTGCACGAACACGAACAATACAAAAACGTGTCGTAACTCCCGGTCAAAGTGCGCCATCTAATGGGGAAATGGGGGGCATTACAGGAGAAAGGTAAAATTTAATTTAATATTATTTGGACAAGTTCGGCGGGCCGGATTAAAAAGCCCAACGGGCCGTATACTTTGCCCGTGTCTGGTGTAGATCGTATAGCTTGGAGCAGGGGTCTGAAACCTGCGGCTCCGGAACCGCGTGGCTATGTTAATTATTTATTAACTATTTTGGCAGGTAACAGGCCCCCACTCAGCTGTGTGGCTTTTTTTTTCGGAAGCTACCTAGGCCACAAATCATAGCAGCCCAACGGAAGGTGGCTTAGCATCGCGTGGGGATTTATCGCGGCCGGATACTCTGAACGCAAGTTGATCATAAACGTGGAGTGAAAAACCGCAGGAACCGGAGATAAAAACCGCACGACCACAGAGATAGACAGAGACATGCAAACTCCAAATACAGAGGCGTCAGGGTCGGGATAGAACCGATGACCTCCTGTATACCTCTTTAAGGACTGCTTCATGACGTTATTTATTCAGGACCGTCTCGTATTCACATGCATTGCGGCTCATGAAATATTTACGTTTTTTTTATCGAATTAGAAAAAAAAATGGTCTCTTCTTGTTATTTTCGTTGCTGGCTTAGAGACATAATCGAGCGTACAGCCTTGAGCAACCGTAGCCAATTCACCAAACATTGTGATTCCCTCTGGTGAATGTGAACGGGTACCCTGATCCACTAGAAAGCTGTGACCAAAAATAAGTAATATTTAAAAATACTTTTTTAAAAACACACTTTAATGAAATGTACCGTACTCGTAATGGCAAAACTCCACGACTCCAGGAAGTAGCCCACGAAGCTTGCCATAATGTAAGGGGCCGTGGTGATTTACAGCCAACGTCAGTTGAGCGTGGACAATTATTCCCAGGCCGAAACATAACGTATAAAAAATAATGTTTAAAATACTTTTTGTTTGATAGAATATAGTTATTATCATCTGCATGACATACGTATACCAAGTTTGCAGTCGATACCACATTGTGAAGTGGGTTAAAATTGAGTTACAAGATTTGAGGATACGACAACAACAACAGACAGAGTGAGTTAAATAAAAGCGTGTCAAAAAAATGATTTGCTTTGAGCCCAATATAGTATTCTACAGCGCCATCTGTTGGTGGAGTTTACACTGTTTTGAATGTTTTAATTCCAAGTCGGGGGATTTTTTTTACGTGGCATCAGCCCGGACGAAAATTGCTGTTGGCGCTTGTGCAAGTGTTCGTTCTGATGTATCCTGAGACAAACACCAACATTTTCTGCCAATTCACGATGCAGGTATTGACCATCAAAGACAGTCACACCTTGCCCAAGGCTGTTTAATCGAAGGCATGTTTCAGCTGTGCACGATTTACTTATCGAGGTACATTTTCCGGGGAACACGGAGTGCGAATTTTCGGCTGTACGTGGTTTGACGCTTTCTAGGATTCTCATCTCTGCGTTGGCTAAGGAGTGCGCGGTCCGCCTGCAGATGGTGCGGATTCGATATCTCATCGCCATCTTTGGTCCCCAACACACTCAAAGCGGTGGTCTCTCGCTTGACGCGTTACTCTGGAGAGGGCCCCTCAACCGGTTAACCCCCTCCACCACTCCCACCAACATCATCATCTATAGCATTATACAGAGCAGCCGCACGGTGTCTCGTATAACACCGTACAGCACACGGTGTACACCAAAACAACAGCTCGCCACCGTGGTGAGATGTTAACTACCTCACCTGGTATACAGGAGGTTGTGGGCTCGATCCTGACCCTGACTCCTATATATTTGGAATTTGCATGTTTCTCTCTTCCCATGGTCACGTGGATTTTTTTCTCCGGTCCCCCCCCGCCCCCCCCGGGTTTTTTCCCACACATTTAGAATCCGCATCACGCGTTCAGAGTATTTGGCTGCATCTATGCATTTCCACACGACGAAAAGCCACGTCGTTGAGCTATCATTTGTGATAGCCAGGTCGCTTCTAAAAAAAACAAAAAAACTGTACAGCCCAGTGGGCCTTACCTGGTAAAATAAAATATAGTTTTTAGTTTACTGTACAGCACAGAGCGTAGTGCATGACACCACGCCAGCACTCTGAATCCATAAATTACGGGCAGACAAATGTGTCACGTGAAGCATGCAGGAATGGTGCCGTGGGTGCTGCAGTTTGCGCCCACCGGTTAGTCTTGTCCTGCACCTCCTTGCCTAGGTTCGACACCTGTGCACGGGCGTTCTCCAGCTCAGTGGCCGTGCGCTCCACCGTGCCCTTCAGGGTCTCCAGCTGCACACCACACAGGACACACAGACGAGAGACAAATAGCACGTAGCATTTACGGACAGTTGAGGCAAGTGATGTTAACGAGTAGCGTCTGTGAAGGCCGGGACAGGCACACGAACGCGTGGGTGGCCAGCACCACATCGCACCAGGTACTCATTTGAGGCTGAGTCGACCTAGGGGAGGCCCAGGACCGGTTCAGATAATCTTCACCGATGTTCGTGAGCGGGGGAATCAACATTGGGTGCCCGGGTTTGTAGCGATTCACACACACACACACAATACACACAACGTTACTTTAATCCGTTTTTAACAGTACACATATATACACGTCGTTTGTCTTTTAACTGTGAATTCTTAACTATGCTATTGTTGGTTTTAATGTAACGGCGGCACGCGTCAAGCCTCCCCCAGCTGGGTTCTCCGCACCTGGTCGTGCAGCTGCTGCCGCGCGCCGTCCATCTGCAGCAGGGCGCGGCGCAGCTTTTGGGCGAGGCGCTCGCTGCCTGCCGTGCGCCTCGCGTGCTCCGCGTTGTTCTCCACCTCGCGCTCCAGGAACTCGCGCTTCTGCCGCAGCAGCTCCTTGCGCCCGCGCTGCTCCTGCCGCGCTTCGGCCAGCTCCTGAGCGGGGCGGAAGGAAGGGCGGCAAGAGGGGCGGAGGGTCGCAGCGTACCGCGCGGAACGGGTCGCGGCAGGATGAGAGGCGGGAGTGGAGGGACAGGAGGGGAGGCGGGAGTAGAGGGACAGGAGTAGAGGGACAGGAGTAGAGGGACAGGAGGGGAGGGACAGGAGGAGAGGGACAGGAGGAGAGGGACAGGAGGGGAGGGACAGCAGGGGAGGGACAGGAGGAGAGGGACAGGAGGGGAGGGACAGGAGGGGAGGGACAGGAGGAGAGGGACAGGAGGGGAGGGACAGGAGGGGAGGGACAGGAGGAGAGGGACAGGAGGAGAGGGACAGGAGGGGAGGGACAGGAGGAGCAACGGGAGGAGAGGGACAGGAGGAGAGGGACAGGAGGAGAGGGACAGGAGGAGAGGGACAGGAGGAGAGGGACGGCAGGAGAGGTACGGGAGGAGAGGTACGGGAGGAGCGGTGGTAGTGAAAGAGAGAGAAGAGGAGGAGTGGCAAAATCAGCAGGGGGCAGACGAAGGAGCACAGGGAGCATCAGGAGCAAAAGATGAATGAGCGGAAACATTTTTTTTAAATAAGATGCAACAGAAGCAGAAGAATCGGGGGAAGCAGGGGTAGGAATTAAAGAAAAAACAGCAGTGGCAATGCGAAAGCAGCGGAAGCAGACAGGTAGCAGCAGCAGGAGAAGCGTAATCAACGGTTGTATAACATCGGTAGAAGCAGCGGTGATAGGGGAAGACGCTGGGGCAGCAGAGGAGCGAAAGCAGTAAACAGCAGGAGCGGGGGAAGAAGGGGAAACAGTAGCAGCAGGAGCAATGGCACAAGCCAACAAAGAAACAGCGGAAGCAGTGGAATAAGCAGAGTGGGTAATAACGTCTAGCAGTATTAGAAGGGGATTCATCAGGGGTAGTGCCACAAATGTGGACAGCCTCTAGATATGTGGGCGCGATGTCCCTATAACACGTGGGCTTTTGCGACCAATATTATTCATAATAAAGGTTTTTTTGGGTTAGATCGTGTAAGTAAAAAAAAAATGTGTCGTGACCCTCCACCACCCGACACAGCCAATCAGTAAGTGATTTGTCACGTAAACAAAAAGTCCGATTAGTTTACTACTTCAGCCCGTCGGTGTGCCGGGGAGTAAATCCACAACATTTATAATTTGAGTCGTACGACGTTTCGCTGGTAATTACATCAACCAGCATTATCGGGCGATTTGCCAAACCCCTTACTAATTGCCTATGTCGGGTGGGGGAGGGTTACGAAAAACATTTAATAATTTACGCGATCGAACCCAAAAAAACCTTTATTACGGACGTCACTATAATCGCAAAGTGGCTTTTCACTTGGGCAGTGTGGGAAGTACGGCCAGATTTTTATCAATCCACTGCTGTCACACCAATCGTCCCTTCCCTGCTGGACGTGATATGTCCACTGACACGTATACTTGTGTATGTTTACGTGTAAGTGCACAGGTATCTGTTTGTCAACTGCGAGCACCTATGAAGGCCGACGTGGCACATGACGGGGGTGGGTGACCAGTACTACGCCCGGCCGCCTTTGTCTCCCCGGTGCTGATGATTACGCAACGCACCAGGTATTCATTTAAGGCCGAGTTCGACCTAGGGGACGCCCAGGACCGGTTCACATAATCGTCACTGGTGTTGGCTGTTTGACTGAACTTCGGGTCGCCTGGTCACTGTACGCAGCGCGGTGCCGCGAACTGCACCGCCGCTCCCCCCATAGGTGCTCGGAGAGACCTGTTCAAGGCTACATAGGTGACCTTTGTCTTTGTGTTGAAACCACGTGCGCATCGACGCGGGCATATCACCATCATCGGGGGAACGCGATCGATCGATCGAGCGAGCGAGCGATCGATCAATCGATTGGGCGAGCGATTGAGCGAGTGGGGCAAGGTGACCGACGGCCGCACGCACCAGCGCACAGCGCTCGACGTCCCGGTCCCTCCGCTGCATCTGCTGAATCGTCTCCTCCCACTGCTGCAGCAGCTGCTGCCGCTCCCGATGCGCCCGGCGGAACTCTTCTGCGGCCTTGTCCAGCTCCACCTGCAGGAGGCAAACGAGGGAAGACGGAGGGAAAAAAAAACCTCCGTCAGCCGGAGCCCCGCAACGCAGTAGCAGGCAGCGGGAAAGCAAAGCCACCGCTGGTGTTGTTTGAAATTTGCTGCTTTGGATGTCCACACGATAAGCCACTTCGTTGAGCTGCCATTCGTGGCCAGGTCGCTTCTGAAAAATAAGCTCAGTTGCTTCACCTAGTAAGATAAAAAAAAAAACATAGTTTAGTTTTATTTGTATATTACTGTTAAGTGATTTGAATACCTTGCCTATAATTTACACTCCTAATTGTTGTTGTAACGTTCTGACCTGCCCCTACTGGACATCTGTGAAAAAGAGCTTCATAGCTCATCGGATTTCTCCAGTGTAAATATTTAAATTCTGATATACAGCAAGTCCTCGCTTGACGCGTGGTGTTCACGCCACGCACTGTCGCTATAACGCGGTACTTCTATTTGGGAATGCATTTCCCACAACGATGTGTTGAATGCGCACCATTATAACGCAGAACGCGCCGCTAAGTAGTTTGTTGTCGATGACGAACTACTTTGTTGAGTTGCCCGGCTGAGCAGTGTGAGATTTCTGGGTATATGCGCGGAATGATACACACACACTAACACAAAACAAAGATCCCCCATATAGTCTTAACAGACTGTAGGGGCAAGTGCTGTTAGCGAGCACCTATGAAGGCCGGAACGGTACACGAGGGGGTGGGTGGCCAGCACCACGCCCGACCGCCTTTGTCTCCCCAGTGGCGATGTTTACAGACAGCACACCAGGTACTCATTTGAGGCTGAGTCGACCTAGGGGAGGCCCGGGACCGGTTCAGATAATCGGCACTGGTGTTGGCCGTGAGCAGGAATCGAACCCGGGTCGCCAGGTTCATAGCGCAGCGCGCTAACCGCTAAACTATCGCTCCCCACTCGCTCTCTTACACACAAAGATCCCCCGTATAGCCTTAACAGACTGTAGGGGCAAGTGCTGTTAGCGAGCACCTATGAAGGCCGGAACGGTACACGAGGGGGTGGGTGGCCAGCACCACGCCCGACCGCCTTTGTCTCCCCAGTGACGATGTTTACACACCGCACCACACCCACACTCTCACACACACTCTCGCACACACACACAACGTTGTGTTTGGAGAGTCACCTGCGTCATCACAGTCTCCGTGACTTCATTCTCGAGGTATCGTCTCTTTTGAGACTCCTCATCCGTGAGCCGGTCGAGTCTCAACATCAGCTCCTGCACCACGTGTCATGATGCGCAGAGGCACAGCAGTTAAGTTACCATCAGCAGCATCATCAGCAGCGAAGGTTCCATTATCATCAAGTGGCAGAAAATGTATCATTTAGCATCAATAGTGGCAGCACATTCATTCTTAAGTGGGCGCGTGCGTGAGTGGATGTGTAAGTGGGTGAGTGTGTGTGCGTGGGTGAGTGTGTGAGCGAGTGAGTGGATGAGTAAGCGTGTAGGTGAGTGGGTGGGCGGGCGAGCGAGTGCAGTGAGTGAGGGAGCGAGTGAGTGGATGAGTAAGTGTGTAGGTGAGTGGGTGAGTGAGCAAGTGGATGAGTAAGCGTGGAGGTAAGCATGTGAATAAGTGGGTGGGTGAGTGTGTGAGCGAGCGAGAGGGACGAGTAAGCGTGTAGGTGAGTGAGTGAGCGAGTGGGACGAGTAAGCGTTTGGGGGAGTGAGTGAGCGAGTGGTACGAGTAAGCGTGTAGGTGAGTGTGTGTGTGAGCGAGCGAGAGGGACGAGTAAGCGTGTAGGTGTGTGTGTGAGTGAGTGAGTGGTACGAGTAAGCGTGTAGGTGAGTGTGTGAGTGAGTGAGTGGTACGAGTAAGCGTGTAGGTGAGTGTGTGAGTGAGCGAGTGGTACGAGTAAGCGTGTAGGTGAGTGTGTGAGTGAGCGAGTGGTACGAGTAAGCGTGTAGGTGAGTGTGTGAGTGAGCGAGAGGGACGAGTAAGCGTGTAGGTGAGTGTGTGAGTGAGCGAGTGGGACGAGTAAGCGTGTAGGTGAGTGAGTGAGCGAGTGGGACGAGTAAGCGTGTAGGTGAGTGTGTGAGCGAGCGAGAGGGACGAGTAAGCGTGTAGGTGAGTGAGTGAGCGAGTGGAACGAGTAAGCATGTAGGTGAGTGAGTGAGCGAGTGGTACGAGTAAGCGTGTAGGTGAGTGTGTGAGCGAGCGAGAGGGACGAGTAAGCGTGTAGGTGAGTGAGTGAGCGAGTGGAACGAGTAAGCGTGTAGGTGAGTGAGTGAGCGAGTGGTACGAGTAAGCGTGTAGGTGAGTGAGTGAGTGAGCGAGAGGGACGAGTAAGCGTGTAGGTGAGTGAGTGAGCGAGAGGGACGAGTAAGCGTGTAGGTGAGTGTGTGAGTGAGCAAGTGGGACGAGTAAGCGTGTAGGTGAGTGTGTGAGCGAGCGAGTGGTACGAGTAAGCGTGTAGGTGAGTGTGTGAGCGAGCGAGTGGGACGAGTAAGCGTGTAGGTGTGTGTGTGAACGAGCAAGCGAGTGGTACGAGTAAGCGTGTAGGTGAGTGTGTGAGCGAGCGAGTGGTACGAGTAAGCGTGTAGGTGAGTGAGTGAGCGAGCGAGTGGTACGAGTAAGCGTGTAGATGAGTGTGTGAGTGAGCGAGTGGGACGAGTAAGCGTGTAGGTGAGTGTGTGAGCGAGCGAGTGGTACGAGTAAGCGTGTAGGTGAGTGAGTGAGCGAGCGAGTGGTACGAGTAAGCGTGTAGGTGAGTGAGTGAGCGAGCGAGTGGTACGAGTAAGCGTGTAGGTGAGTGCGTGAGTGAGCGAGCGTGGGACAAGTAAGCGTGTAGGTGAGTGTGTGAGCGAGCGAGCGAGTGGTATGAGTAAGCGTGTAGGTGAGTGTGTGAGTGAGCGAGAGGGACGAGTAAGCGTGTAGGTGAGTGTGTGAGTGAGTGAGCGAGTGGTACGAGTAAGCGTGTAGGTGAGTGTGTGAGTGAGCGAGCGAGTGGTACGAGTAAGCATGTAGGTGAGTGTGTGAGCGAGCGAGTGGTACGAGTAAGCGTGTAGGTGAGTGTGTGAGCGAGTGGGACGAGTAAGCGTGTAGGTGAGTGGACGGGTGAGTGAGTGAGCGAGCGTGGGACAAGTAAGCGTGTAGGTGAGTATTGTGGGTGAGTGAGCGAGCGAGTAAGTGTGTAGGTGAGTGAGCGAGCGAGCGAGCAAGTGGCCGAGTAAGCGTGTAGGCTGGCGGGTGGGCGGGCGGGCGGGCGGGCTAGCGATCCTCACCCGGATCTTGCCCTCGTCGAGCCGTGCGTATCTCTGCAGCGCCTCGATGTCCTCGTCCCTGCGCGCTGCCTCCTCCAGCCACGTGTCGAGCGCCAGCTTGTCCCAGCGCAGCTCGGCTCGCTTATCCTCCAGCCGGCGCGTCGCCCGGAACAGCTCGTTCTGCGGCCGCCACCACCGCCAAAGTTGTCATCGTCGCGGCCGTCACGGTCATCCCCTTTATCGTCGTCTTCGTCATCATCATCGTCGTAATTTAAAATGCCTTCATCGTCATCATTGCCATTGCCTTCATTACCATCATCGACATTGCCTTCATCATCGGCATTCCATCATCGTTATTGCCTCCATCATGGTCACTGCCTTCATGATCGTTGGCATCATCATCGCCTTCATTATCATTGTCAATAGCATTATCGTCAACAGAATAAAAAAAAAATATTATGCATACGATAATCAGCCACACGCGGCTACGGAGACGCAGATTGCCGACCCCTGTGCATGGCTATTCAAGCCATCGTAGCGTGTTCGCGTGCGTGCGTGCGTGCACGTGCGTGCGTGCACCTGGTGGTTGTTCTGCCTCTCCCTCGCGTCGTGCATCTCCGCGTCGAGTCGGCGCAGCTCCTGCTTGAGGCGCCCGCCCTCGCGCTCGGCGAGTGTCGCGAAGTGCGACTCCGTCTCCAGCTCCTTCTCCCGCGCGCGGCACAGCACCTGCGAGCACCAGCGAGACGCGCGAACACAAAGGCTCGCCCACCCCCCACCCACCCACCCACCCGGATAGCCTTATCAGACCGTTGGGGCAAGTGCTGTTAGCGAGCACCTATGAAGACCCGGCGCACGGTGGATTAGTGGTAGGTGTGGCCAGCAAGGTACGTGGCTTGGTTATGGGTAAAAGACGCCACCGACTGGAGTTGAACCGGGATTGCTGTGTTAGTAGACAAAATGTGTGCTAACCGCGAACCCCCAAAAGGCAAAAAAAATCCCCCGTACAGCCTTTAACAGGCTGTTGGGGCAAGTGCTGTTCGCGAGCAGCTGTTAAGAATGACACGGTACACGAGGGGGTGAGTGGCTAGCACCACGCCCCATCTGCCTTTGCCTCCCTAGTGGCGATGTTTACACATTGCACCAGATACTCGATTAAGGCTGAGTCGACCCTAGGGGAAGCCCAGCACTGGTTCAGATAATCGTCACCGGTGTTGGTGGCCCGTGAGCGGGAATCGAACTCGGCTTTGCCGGCTGGGTTCGCGTTGCAGCGCGCTAACCGCTGCACCACAGCGAGACACACACATACACGAGACAACAACAACTGCCATTCACCACTATGTGGCGGTGACATCACCACAGCACTCGTGCCAGGCTATGTGCACTTTAAGACCACGTGAAGTATGGCCTTCGAATGAGACTGACACACGCGCACACGCCTCGAACACACTCCCTCTTACTGCTGCCACTCCGGTGAAATTCTCAGCACCGCCCATCGTCCCTTCCAGCGATGTGTCTTGCCCGAGCACATCATTACAATTTCTTAACGTCAAAATGAAGTCTTCAACCTCGTATGTATTCTACAATCCATGCGTTCCTCTTTTGGTCTCTCAGAGTAACGTCTTTGTTATTAGCCGCTTATCATACAGATAAGGCTGCACTCACAGAAATTCAAAGGATGCCACCCAGGCCAGAATATGTGGCGCTAACGGCACGTGTGTGCTAGCTTAGGAAAGAAAGTCTGCTAATTTTACAGAAGAAAGCCACTGGGCATGAGTGTCTTAGGGCCACGGACATTTATCCTTTGTACGAGTCTGGCAAACGGTATTGAAACTAAACTGTAGAACACCGGCTGCTGTTATCTTAGGGCTCACTCAATCAATAGATAGCGAGGGCAGAGTTGAAATAGCCATTTGTGTATGAGCGCAACGTGATTGCCTTATACGACGTCGATGTTTTTGAGTAAACCCGGCTGCGTTTTATATAGCGCTGAAGATGGAAGACGTCAGAAGGCGAAAGTGCCTTCTGACTCCACTCGGCTCCCTGTAATAACTGCGCACATCGTTGAGTTTTCTTCATCCGTTCCACGGATGAAGATCCCGTGTCGCCAGGTGACCGGCTATGTTACAAGGGAGAGCCGTGGTGCTGCGTGAACACAGCAGCAGCAGCAACAAAAGACAATGCCATCGTCCTACTGTAGTGTAAGAGGTAGTGTGCTTTTGGCAAGTTTGTGAGTCTGCGGTTGAGCTTACGAATGAGTGAGTGAGGGAGCTAGTGAGTAAGCGAGCGTGCAAGTGAGCCAGGGAGAGGATAAGTTATCGAGCGAGTGAGTGGGCGGGCGAGTGACCGGGTGAATGAGATAGTGCTTTGGTTAGTGAGTGTGTAGGTGAATTAATATGTGGGGGAATGACAGTGTCATTGACGGGATGAGTGGGTGAGTCAATAACTGAGTTACTTAAGTGGTTGAGTGATGGAGTGAGTTAACAAGTGAATGAATGAGCGAGTGAGCAATCCGAGTGAATGAGTTAACAGGTGAGTGAGCACCTGCGTGTTGGTGAACTCCTGTTTCACGTTCTTGAGATGCTCCACCATGGCGTGAAGTCGTTCCTCCTGCTCCATCATTTCCCCTTCCATCGACACATTCTCCTGCAGTCGCTTCTGCAGCTACAGCAGCATAAACCCGACAGAACCAAGCATTACTGCCACGCCAACACAAGAACATTGTTGTCATATTACAGTCCTATAAGTGTGGGGGATGGTTAGCATAGTACGTATCCCTCGCGCTATGCACACAGTACACACACAGTACACACACAGCACACACACAGCACACACACACACCATGCTGTCTCACGTCCGACCGCATAGCCGCATCTGAGTGAATTAAAAACCACATGCTGTCTAGCGGATTTGTGGTAGAAATATGTTGGCCGAATATACGGCGCAAAATCACACGCACATCGAGCGAGGGAAACTTGTAAGCTTGCAATCCTGAAGTTATAGGTTCGATTCCATCTCCCGGAACGGCAGTTTAAACAATGCTGCACGTTTCTTAATCCGTCTCAGCCTCTGATTTAAAGCTTTCGTGACTGCAGGGATTCATAGTCTTGGTTCTTTCGGTAAAGTCACGTAGAAGGGAAACAATCAAATAATAAAAAAACGTAAAACAATAAAATTCGCAAGAAAATTTTCTTGCTGTGGTTTTCACACCTGATGATGATTGCTTGTGTTGCAGTCGACAACGTCGTGAGAATTCTATTGCTTTATATATTTTTTTTATTACTTTATTGTTTCCCTTCTACGTGACTTTACCGAAAGAAGCAATAATAAGAATCCCCGCCTCTGTCCACCCAGCAGTACAGACAGACACGCCGCGGTTAGTCGATCCACAGGTAGTGTGAGTGTGGTGGGGTAAAGTGTGAGTACTCCCCGCGTAGTCCAAGACGATGAGTGAATGCATTCATTGACGAATAAACGAATGCAGATACGAGGACATGAACCCGCATGCGCTGCAATCATTCATTTGGATAACCCGCGCATGAAGGATGCATTCGTTGAGTCGATTGACTCATCCGCGCAAACATACGCCAGGTAATTTCAGCTAATGAATGCACTAATTGTATTCATACAAGACTGTACACTGGGGTAAAGTGTGAGTTATTGGGCAGCGTGGAAGAGGAGGCAAAATACCCTCTATAGCACCTCTATAGTGGAGGCTACTTCCACAAGCGGGTGCGTTAGAAAGCCATTGCAGGGCTGCGCCTTTACTATTTACTGGGGGAAATAGGATGTTGTTGTGAGTGACATGCCCTTACTGGACGTCTGTGAAAAAGAGCTTCATAGCTCATCGGATTCCTCCAGCATACATTATTCCGATTCTGATGTATCTCGTAAACGTCACTTTCTAATGTACCTTAAAAACGCAGCATTGTAAAATGTATTACAAAGTGTAGATCGTACCTGACAACCCCTTATCAGTAGTGCCTATCTTATCACAGACCAACTCAGAACTTATTGGTCACCCCGTGCCCCTTATAAATCTCAACGTTCATCCTATAAAGTCCCATCACAAGTGAGAAACACAGACACATTCTTTTTTTGCCTGCATTGAAACGGATGTACGCCGAATGGATCTAAAAACTAAATTTCCCCTGTACAAGAACACGGGGTGAAACCGTACGGATTGTTGATAGGTACGTGACTATATATTTATATATATTTTTTAAAAAATTCAAATGGCAGGCTGGAAAGTGAGGCCTACCTGCATCTCCAAGGCTTTGTTTTCCTCGTTTGCGACTGGGATCGCCATCCCCTCGTCCCATTGCAGCTCGGCGAGCACCGACTCGCTCATCTCGCCTAAAAAAAACAAAAAAAATATTCCCTCGTTTAAAAAGTGGGAACGTTTAAACAAAGAGTTTGCGAACCGCGAGTAGCACTATTTGTATACACGCCGTTGCCTTGACGACACGGAGAGGCCCACCTCCCCCACTCGATCACGTGGCGCGCGTCCTCCACCGCTATTGGCTGATTGGTGAGGAGGGGGGGAGGTTGCTATAGGGCGGGGAGCGGTGGTGCAGCGGTCAGCGCGCTGCTGTTGCCTGGCACGGCTTTGTAAAACATCGCCACTGGGGAAGACAAAGGCGGGCCGGGCGTGGTGCTGGCCACCCCACCCCCTTCGTGTGCCACAGTGCCGGACTTCATCGGTGCTGCTTACTTCGCTAAACTGCACTTGCCCCAATGGTCTGCTGGGGGCTACGCGGGGGACCTTTGTCTATGTACACGCCGTTGCCTTGGTGACACGGACAGAGGCCCCCCCCCACCCTCTCTCCACTCGGTCACGTGGCGCGCGTCCTCCACCGCTATTGGCTGATGGGGAGGGGTGGGGGCGGTGCCAGCGGGTGGTGAGCCCCGGAGGAGCGACGCTCACAACAACGAACGGAGCGCCGGGCGGATAAAATGCAGCGAGTTGGCACAGCAGGGGGTACGGCTTGGCGCATCTACCAGTCAGCCCAGCCATTGCACCTTCCGGGACTGTCCCGAGACCTGTCAGCGAGCCTTCGACATTTCACGTGGCCTCAAAGTGCACCTAGCCTGGCACGGGCGCCGTGGTGACGTCACAGTCACTTCGTGGCGAATGGCGGCTGCTTTTGAATTGGAGCGGTGGTGCAGCGGTTAGCGCTGCCGATGCGCTACCGCCCCGAGTTCGATTCCCGCTCACGGCCACCAACACCAGTGACTAATATCCGAACCGGTCCCGGGCCTCCCCTAGGTCGACTCAGCCTCAAACGAGTACCTGGTGCGGTGTGTCAGGGGCCGTCCATAAATGACGTCACGTGATTTTGGACGATTTTTGACCCCCTCCCCCTTGTCACACGGCGTCACAAAAAGTCAGACACCCCTCAAGTATGACGTCACAAAGCTCTGCCCCCCGCCCAAAACCATATTTCCATTTTGAAAATAAAACATGCTCCAAATCGCTTTAAACTATTGTCATTGTAGTGCGTATTTAATGTGGCGCTGCACTCTGATGTTGTAGGAGAAAACATTTATTAAAAAGTCTATTTAATTAAGTAGAATGTGTTGTCTATATTTATTTAATGTGACGTCACATTTCTCAAACCCCCCCCCCCTCGTCACACATCGTCACAAATGTCTGACCCCCCCCCCCTAGGTGCGTGACGTCATTTATGGACGGCCCCTAAAATATCGCCGCAAGGAAGACAAAGGCGGCCGGGCGTGGTGTTGACCACCCACCCCCTCGTGTGCCACAGTGCCGGCCTTCCTAGGTACTGCTACTCGCTAACAGCACTTGCCCCAACAGTCTGTTAGAGGCTATACGGAGGGACCTTTGTCTTTGTACACGCGGTTGCTGTGACGGCACAGAGAGCCCCCCCCCCCTTTCCACTCGGTCACGTGGCGTGCGTTCTCCACCGCTATTGGCTGACGGCGAGTGCTATAGGGATGGTGATGAGACTCGTGATTTAGACTGGAGGAGGATCAATCTTCAGTTCAGTTTATTTTGGTATAGCCCTGTGAGCCATTCGGCTCTTGAATCGGGTGCAACCACGCCAAACAAAATAAACACAAAACACGAACAAGAAAAACATCTTAACGTGACTATGTTACTGTGAAAACAGAAAATCAATGGGAAAAAAACAGCAAAAATTTTCCTGAAAAAGCACCGTACATCAACGCTGTGTGCAAAAAATCCCAGTGGGATGCAAGTCAAACAACAACAACAAAAACTTAGATTAAGGCCATCAGTCTAATTCCGTACTACAACAAAACAAACATGTCCAAACCAAAAAACGTTTTCCAAATCACCAAAAAATAAAGCCATAATTGCAACGTAACAGTGATCACAGGGACTGTGACCGAATTTTTACAATAAACTACATAAATAACATGTAACACCAAATCCTAGAGACACAGCTGGCTGCATGAGTTACTCCACAACAACAGAAGCATCGGTCGGAGTATCAAATTTTTCAATGCACCTTTAAGATCAGCACGCTAAATCAACATACAGATAATACTTTTGCGGCGTCATCCGGAGCGAAACATTTTATTTTATTCTACGCCAATGAATAGCAGTGGCAGCTAGGGGTGTACAACTCCTCTAGAGCAAAAACTTGATTAGAGCAGTTTTGAGAGAAGATCTGATGAGCTATAAAGCTCTTGTTCACTGGGGGCACGGAGGTCAGAACGTTACAACGACGAGCAATACAAAAATGAACACGACATGAGTGCAGAGTATAGGAAAGGTCAATAAACTACTTTTAATATGCAAATAAAACAACCAAATATATAGTTTTTTGGGGTTATTTAAGCCTTTTAAAACAACGAAACAGAAGGATTTGTCCATAAATATGTCTGTCCGCCTGATAACGCGAGTTATGATTACTGGCAAAACGTCCTACTCAGATTGCAAATGTTGTGGATTTGCTCTCAAACACACCGGTGGTGCTGTATGAGTAACGAATTGGGACGTTCTGTTCACGTGACAAACTATACTAATTGGCTGTGTCGGGTGGTGGAGGGTTTAACCACACATTTATATTTACGCGATCTAACCCAATTTTTTTTTATGGATTATAGCATTCTTGATGACAGACGCTTGTGTTGCGACCGAAAAGTCGTGTTTCTTTTATTCTTTTTTTCTATCTACGTGACTTTACCTAAATAAACAGAGAGTAGAGAGTATGGATGCAATTCATATTCTTAGCTCTTTCGGTAAAGTCACGTTGAGAATATGAATTACTGCAGTCACGAAAGCTTTAAATCAAAATTTAGTATGGATGATACTCTGTGGTTCTTTCAGTAAAGTCACGTAGGTATATTTTACTTATTTTATTTTCTACCTACGTGACTTTACCGAAAGAACCAAAGAGTATGGATTCCTGCAGCCACGAAAGCTTCAAATCAAGATTAATATGGATGATATTATATACGTATATTTGGATTCACCACACCCGCCGCCTTTGTTTCCCCAGTGGCGATGCTCACACAGCAGAGCAGTTACTCGTTTGAGGCTGAGTCGACCTAGGGGAGGCCCAGGACCGGTAAAAATAAGCATCACCGGTGGTGGCCGTGAGCGGGAATCAAACTCGGGTCGCCGGGTTCGTAGCGCGGCGTAGCGCTAACCACTACACTACAATGCGTTACGCTTCCACACACACTCAGACACACACACACAGACACACACACAGACACATACACAGCGCGCTAACCGCTACACTACAATGCGTTACGCTTCCACACACGCACAGACACACACAGACAGACAACAACAACAACCGCCATTCGCTACTAAGTGGCGGTGACGTCACCACGACGCTTGTGCCAGGCTATGTGCACCATGAGGCCACGTGAAGTGTCGAACGCCCGCTGGCAGGAGGTCACTGGGCAGACCCAGGTGCCACGGGTCGACTGACTGAGATGACTGGCTGATGCACCACCTGTGCCCCCTACTGTGCCAACCTGTTGTGCTTTAGCCACCCGGCGCTCCGCTCGTTGTTCTGAGCGTCGCTCCTCCGCCCTCCGTTGTTGTTGGAGGGCGACTGCCTCCAACTGCCCAGTAGCATCCTTCACGAGCCTCCTCCACAGAGGCCGATCTTGACACCGCTGGTACCAGTCATCGGCAAGTCCACTCAACTCCACGTCCTCCTGTACCACATCACTCCATCTCTTCTCTAGCCCGTGCCGCGCCCGCTTAGCCCCCTCAATCCGGCCAAACAAAAGCTGTTTCGGCATGCGGTGGCTGGGCATGCGGGCTACATGACCCAGCCATCGCAGCCTTGCCTGCCGGAGGAGCTCACCGATGGGACCCTGCCCAGATCTTTCAAGGATTTGTGAGCTCCTCACACAATCCAGTCTGGTTAAACCCAGGATGGATCGTAGGCAGGCCAGCCTAAATGTTTCTAACCGGCGAAGATGCTCCATTAGGGGGGTCCACGTTTCGCAAGCGTAGAGAAGGGAGGGAATGACCGTGGCCGAGAAGACCTGAAGCTTAGTGCGGAGCGACAGACCAGGTAGCTTCCACACAGCGTTACGCAACCGATGAAAAGATATTGCCGCTCGACTGATTCGGAGTGAGACCTCTGTTGTTAAACTGGAGCCAGTCATAAGCACACTGCCCAGGTATGGGAAACTCCATAACTGCCCCATCACCGATTGGGAGTTGTGGGGGTGGAGTGTCCGATGGTACAAAATACCCAGGCAGGTGCTTAGTTTTGGTGGGGCTGATGGTAAGGCCCCACCTCTTAGTGGCACGCTCCAGTCTCAGCAGCAGCGTCTCCAACTCCTCCTCTGCCTGAGCAGCTATTACCAAATCATCAGCATACATAACGTGGTTGAGCAATAGGGAGCCATCCCTTGACCGCACCCGGGCATCGATTAGCCTCCCATTATATCTGTACCATATGGAGATTCCCCCGGTACAGCTATTGAAGGCTTCACGAACTACGTGGTCAAAATAGATGTTAAATAATGTGGGAGCCAGAGGACATCCCTGTCGCACCCCAAGGTGTACAGGGAATGGCTCTGACTCCCGGCCACGTAGTTTTACCCGGGCCCGCTCACCATCATGAAGGTCCTTAATGATCGTGAGCAGAGGGTCAGGTACTCCAAAAGCACGAAGAACGACCCAGAGCCCAGGCCTACTGATGGTATCATAGGCCTTGACCAGGTCAATAAAGCAGAGATGTAGGTCTTGTTGGAATTCCCTACACCTCTGCTGTAGCAGACGGACAGAAAATATGGCATCTGTGCAGGACCGCCCTTTCCTGAAACCGCATTGACAGACAGACACAGACACATACACAGCGCGCTAACCACACTACAATGCGTTACGCTTCCACGTGCGCGGGTCACGTGACAGATTTGACGTCACAGCTCACTTCCGTGCAAAAAATCTATGCATTATTGAGCTCCCACCCCCCCCCCCCAAAAAAAAAAGTCAATTTTTATAATGTTTGCATGGTGTACAGTCTGGA